TGTGTGGTCGGAGACGGGGGGGGTGGGTGTTTGTTTAATGTTAAGTGTAACATGCACTTGCTAATTTTCTGTGTCTTTGCAATTCTATACTTTGGTTCTTTTCAAAACATTGGTTTATATTTATTTATTAAGGTTTTTTCTTTTAAAAAAGACTTATGTGTTGGGCACTTTATCAAAAAAAGAAAGAAAGAAACAAAAATAATACAGTAAATATTGTGTGTGTTGTTTGGAGCTGGCTTCCAGCATCCAGCAACCCTTTCACATACAATGACCAATTTTTGAAAAGAAACTAAAACAAAAAAAACCCAAAATCCCTTTATTCATGTTGTTATCGACTCTTTCATGACTGTGTTGTATGTTCCTACAGCTTTCGGGTTCTTCAATAAATTATTTTTTGTCATTCATCCCAGCTCCTATGCTTGTCATCGGCTGTACATGCCAGTGGTAGATTTTTTCATGCTTTTCTTCCAGTCAAAAGAGGTTTCTTGTAACCATGCCTTGTAACATGAAAAAATCAAGTTGCTCTGCTTCAAAGGGGCATTTGTCTAATCAGAGACTGGGCTGAAATTTCTTCAAGGAAAATAGCCAGATGTAGGCATGCAGACAAGTTCCGACAAGGGGATCTGTGGGCAAAATCAGTCCCTGCTCTTTCACCACTGCTGTCTTTCGCTAGCAGCACCTCTTCTGCTGTTTCTACGGGCAGGTGACTCTTTCCACCTGCAAACTGCTTGCTGGAAAGATGCTTCTGCATCGTCGAATGTTTCCACCATCGATCTGACGTCTTCTCATGGCAACCTCTTGGTTGCTTGCATGGCTGACTCATGGCCCCTTTTTTCTGGACCAGAGGCGTTGAGGGAGGTGGATTGCCGAAGAAACAAAGAAACAGAGCGAGTCAGAAGGGACCATCTAGTCTGACCCCCGGCTCTGCTCACGACATGCAGGGAAGCAGAGAGCTGCAGACAGCTAGGGGGTCCCAGCTGCAAGCGCCTTCGCAAAAGCAATGCCTGCCCCTTCAGTGCCCCTCAGAGATGTTACAACCATCTCCATCAAGAAGATATCCATCAAGGATATGGCCAGGTTGGAGTCAGTGCAGCAAAGGGCCACAAGGTTGGTGGCCGGTTTGCAGGGGAAGCCGTATGAGGCGAGATGGAGGGAACTGGGCCTCTTCAGCCTGGAGAAGAAGAGACTCAGAGGGGATCTGTTGGCGACATACAGGTTTGTGAGGGGGTGTCACACGGAGGTGGGCAGAGACCTGTTCTCCCCGCAGAGGAAGGCAGGATGCACTCCAACGGAGCAAAGCTCAGGGAGCCAAGGCTCCACTTGGATGCCAGGAAGCACTTCCTGACAGTCAGGATCCTGAGGGTGTGGAATGGGCTTCCATGGGAGGGGGTTGAGGCCCCATTGGTGTGGGTGGTCAAGGACAGGCTGCACGTGCACATGGTGGGCACGTCATGAGTGGAGCCGGCTGGAACCGGGGGTCAGACTAAATGGCCCGGGAGACCCCTTCTGGCTCACTCTGTTTCTCTGTTTCTAAGATAAAAAATTGAGCATCATAGTAAATTTCACTTGCCACTTCCACCCACAGATTGCCCCTGAGCCTGAAAACAGTCCCCGCGCATTTCTCCGACTGTGATGGGAGGAAGCCAGTGTTCCTTGTCGCTCCAAACAGCGGGAGTTTGGTTCAGGCCAAACAGCCGAAGCTGGGCACGTGTGCGAATGGGTGTGTGGGGAAGGGCTGTTTGCCATTTTTTTGCCTGGTTGTCTTTCCCTCTCCCCCTTGGCATTGGAAGTGAGGAAGGAGTCTGCTTCTTGTGCAGATTTTCAAGAGGTGCTGACTAAAGAATCGGAATTCCCAGTCTCTGGGAAGAACCAAGATGTACAGCTGGTGGGGGGGACTTGGAGCAGGGGAGTTTCTCAGACGCGGACTGGGCGGTTCCAGCTCTTGACCTCATGATGTGTTGCGAGCAGAGGAGGGCAGTCCCATGAGAGCCCCCAGAGAGGAAGAATGCTCATTTTCAGAAGGCTCATCCTGAAGGGATGTGACCCAGGAATAAATGTCATAAGGAGACTGGACTCTCGATTGTGTCCAACCAATTGCTCTATGCAAGAGATTCCCTCTGGGTGTTTCGGCTTTTGGTCAATAAAGGATATTTTACAAGGACAAAGTCTGTGGCTTTGAATGTATGGAGGAGGAATCCCAGCTCCTGACATTTGACTCCTCACAAAGGGTCATTCTGAGAAAACCGAACTGGCGGCCCCCAGCTGACCAGAGCACAGACCCCCAAGGAGTCCGCTCCCAGCACCCCAAACATGCAAGCACCACAACAATGGCATTGCGATGCAAAAGACGGGATGTGGTGCCATCTTCTCTGCCTCTCCTCCCAATTTTACATATCAGGGAGAACATAAACATAAAGTACAACAGAGAGTATATCCCAAACTCCTTCCGGGGATAGTCCACTGCCTGTTTTTCAGGGAAGCTGGAGGTCCCAAACCTTGCCGGAATAAGTTGGGAAGTAACTGCTACCTTGCAGAGCAAACCAAGGAGCAGTGGACCCAGGCTCATGGGGCCATTTTATTTTTCAAGCGTGGCCCTGAGCAAAAGTGTTGGGGTACGCACGAAAAGAAACACTGCTGCATCCAAAGCAACCTTCTCTCCAACATGTGCATGCACAAATGGACTGCATAGCGGGGGATTTCTTCGGTAGCCATCGCACTGGCTCAAGTAGCCGAAGTGCCCGGGAGTCAGCCCTGCCGGCACCAGTCGTGTCAACCTGGTGCCTGTTGCTATAATCCTGCAAGTAACTAAAAGGGAGCTGGGACAGTCAAACAACACAACTGCCATGCTTTCAATTTCACAGAAGGGCCGGAAAGTTTTAGGGGGCAAACTCATGAGCCAGATAACTGCTGCAGGGAAGCAAGGTGGTTTTATGCATTAATTTATTCGTGATTAGTTACTAATTCAATTAGTACATCCAACAAACGTCACACCATTCTTGCAGCATGGAATTCTGGCTGGCTTGAGATAAAGAGCCACTTTAAAAATTCACACAAAAGCCCCCTGATTATGGCATGGAACAGCCTGTCAACTGGGGGCTTTGCAAATGTTTTGGGAGATGCCACTCATAACTAGGGTGCCACGATCCTTCTGGGATTCCTCTCTCCATTGGAACTCCTCTCCTGCATGGCCCCGGGTTAGGGAGCGAGCGAGCCGAAAGCAGGCTGTGGAACTCTTGCGGGGCCCTGGCTGTGCAAGCAGCAGCCCTCTTTGCAAACAGCAAAGGCCGCACGCCAGGTGTGCAGAGGGGAGACTCTGCATGTGAGCATTTGGCAGGGCCCGATTCCTGGTGAGCGCCCAGGGTGCTTCACACCAGGACGTGGGGTGGAGCCCAAGGAGCTGAGCTGAGGGAGTCCAGCAGGCCACAACACAGATTCCCCGCATATCCGTATGCGTGCCTGCCCTGCCTAGTGGGCTTGGAGTTTGTTGATTCCCTAGCAGGGTCAGCCCCAGGGAATGATGGGTCGTAGCCGTGAAGCACAGGTGGGAGGTGAGAATGGCTGCTTGGGTGCTGGTTCTCAAAGGCTTCTGACTGGGCTCTGGAACCCGGACCTGGATGTGAAGCAGAACAGGGGAGCCTGCGAAGGTGGGCCGAGCCAAGCCTCTGGGAGGAGCAACGCGGAGGCCGGACTCCCCAGGTGGGCAGGCCGTCTCTGGGAACACCCGAGAGGCACAGCTTGGTGGAAGGGACCCGGAGCAGGGGAGCCTCTCAGACGCAGACCGGGTGGTCCTGGCTCTTTGACCCCCGGCCCGTTGCCCACGGGGGGGGGGGGGGCAATTAAAGGACCGGTGCCCAGAGAGGAGGCGTGCTCACTTTCAGGAGCTCCCTCCCAAAGGGAGCGGGCCCAGGCGGGCTCGTAAGGGGAGTTCCTGGAGGCGAATACTAGATTGGGTTCAACTAACTGCTCTGTGCATGCCCAGAGATTCCTTCTGGGAGTTTTGTGCTTTGGAGCAAGAAAGAGCACTGTGCGAGGGAAACGGTCCGTGGTCTGTGCAAAGGAGGGACCCCTGCACAGCATACATGTGGTGCGGAAAGAGTCCTCATGTTTATGTCTGGCCTACAAGGTCCTCCAAGAGGCCAGCTAGCAGCCCTTCAAGACTGGGTCCTGGAACAACAGGGGAGGGACCCCTGGGCTTTCACGACCACCCTGTGGGCTTCTCAGGTGCATCTGACATCAGGCACTACACAGAAGCAAGACATGGGCCCAGGGAGGATGAGTTGCTCGCTCCAAAAACCCAGTCCCCGTGTTCTTAGAAGGGCTGGTGGTGAAGGGACACAAAACAACATCCAGAACTGAGTTCTACAGCCAGGGCACACACACCTGGAAAGGACACCTGTGTCCCTTTTGTTGGGCAGGGTACCTGCTGTGTGCTCCACTCGTAACTGGGGAGCAGGGCTCTGGCGTCCCCTCTTTCATCTGGCCTGGCCTCCCCACTAAAAGCAAGATGGCTGGGGCACGAGGCAGGGGGTACGGCTTGGAAGGCACCGAACTGATCTAGGGGAAGGTGTCTCCATCAAAGTCCTTCCAAGGTTCCTCAGAGCATACACACCAGAAGTGTGAGTTCTCACTACGATGGCAAAACAGGGTGAATGCAGTCTTCTCCTTCTCTTTCCCCACATCTATGCAGAAAGGTTGGCACTTGGGAAAGTAGCAGGGAGCTCCATTCAAAGCCTGGGGGTTCAGCTGCAAAGCCCAGTAAGTGCAGCCTGGGTTCGGTTCCGATCCTGCCCTCCAGGGCTCTTCCACGCTTGGTCCCACCCTCCGGCTGCTTGGTGGCTTCTGCATCGCCACCAGCCATGCAGCTTGAAATGCGCCTCTTCTAAGGTCAGAAATTAACAGGATGTCTTGGGCCTCGAGAGCTCTCCAGACTGGCAAGATGTCTGAAGGCTCAGCCCAGTCCGCAACCGGTGTAAATACTGGGAATCGGGCCCTGCCTGAGTTCAACAGGTCACGCTCTTCTGCTGTGCAGGCACTGGGGGAGCGGAGGGCTTCGGCACGGTGGGCGAAGGAGTGCTCAGAATGCTGCCCACTTGGCCGTGGGCCTTGTGGGCCTTGATCCGCAGACTGGCTCCTCGGGAGATGAGGTCAGCATAGCCTTCCACATGAGAGAAAGCATACGCGGAGCGTCTCTGCAGGGTGTTCCTCCGGATGTGAGAAACCAGCTCCACCGTCTTTTGACTTGCTTTCATTCCCCGGGCTTGAAATCTCTGGAAAGAAAGGGGGTGGGGTGTTCTGCACAGCGGCCTGGCCCGGTCTGGGGTCCTTCAGTTGTGTGGGATCACAACTCCCCGCAAAACACACTGCTTGGCCCAACTTCATGCTCACCATACCTCTGAAGGTCCTCCTCACCATGCTGGCCAGGGTCTGTCCCCCTGACCCGACCTTCCCACCAACACCACCCTTTCCAAGCTTACCTCCGACATGCTCATGGAATCCGCCACACTCCGCACGAAGCGGACGACGAGGGAAGGAAGGATGTTCACCACAACACACAGTGAGACCACCAGCAGCGCCATGGGGTCTGTCAGAGCGTTCCTGGTGGCATCTGGAGGGAGCGGAGGACGGTGTGAACAGCGCCGTGTTTGGGCGTAGAGTGCAATGGGATGCATGGGTAGACCGGAAGCCCAGAGGTCTACCCTGAAGCCCTGTACCTCTGGACCCAGACTTTCCAGCCCCAGGACCAGAAGTGTGGGGAGCAGTTGCCAGAGCCCCTGGGTGGCTTTGGACCCCCTCACATCCTCCTGCTGCTTCAAATGCCCCCAGGTTATCCCCAGACCTGCCAGAGACAGTGAGCCAGGCAGTGCCTGGTTAGCTATGCATAGGTCTACTCTAGAGGAGGGGAACCTCCAGCATGGACTTTCCCTGCTTGGGGACTGGATGAAAACCAGGCAGAATGGAGCTTGTTCGGAAATGGGAGCAAACTCTAGTCAATGCACCATTATTATTATTATTATTATTATTATTATTATTATTATTAACATTTCTATGCCGCCCCTTGCCGAAACCTCGGGGCGGCTTACAACACGATAAGAAGCCTTCCAGACTCCAGCACCATTTGCCGGTTTCTGTTCCCTTCACTTTCATACTTGCCCAGTCTTAAACTCAGTTCATCCTGATCTTTGAGAATTTTTTAAAGAATTGCTTGATTTTTAAAAAAAAAAACCCTGAAAATGCAAAAATTGCATTTTTTTGTATACAGTTTTGCTCAACATTCATACAGCTGGCAAGCCATTTCCTTACAAACATGTCTGCTGAACCCTATTTTCACTAAGACATCCATTTTTGTCTTCATTCTCCTCGCATATTTGAATTTTGGCCCCTTGTTGTGGTGCTCAGCTCACACATGATCCAGTCAGAAGAACCATTGCAAAATGCACAACCATGCAAATTCAGAAGGATAATGGAGCGTTGCTTCATGTACTTATTAAAAGCACAACAGTAGATAAGCGCACATTAAAATATAGTCCCAGTTAGTTTCTCCACTGTTCTTGCCAGTGCTTCGTCTGAACTAGGAAACAACCACCTTCTCTGCTGTTAATTCCAACTGCTCAAAAGTTTAGCCGGAAGCACCATTCAGTCAGGATGGCATTGCCATGCTCCATGAAATTGTCAAGATGATGTGTCCTGGGACCTTGTTCGTCCCACACAAAGGGATGTACACACCTGTCTGCAAAACTGCAGCTGGTAAGGTCTCAAAGATCTGGGAGAATTTGGCCAAGCCATTCTCGCCATAACCTGGAGACACCGGAGGCCTGATCAGGGTGGATTTGGATTCTGCACCACAGTGAAACCCAGACAGGACGGACAGTGCATAAGGAGCATTGATCTTGTACTGCCCAAGACTCCGTCCACTGTCAAATCAGGATGCCCATCACAAGCCATCCCACTTGGGGCCAAATGCCCATCCTTATCACCATCTGCAGCTGCCTGAATTTGCACCTGCCTGAAAATAACAGGGTGTGAAATAAAAGACAAGGACTGGAAGAATATTTGGAATAGAAGAGCATATAAGAATATGTCAGTGAGATTTAAAGAACATGGATATAAAGTGATATGGAGATGGTATTTAACACCAGTTAAGTTAAACCAAATTGATGACAAATATTCTAATATATGTTGGAAATATGGTAAAGAGATCGGAACTTATAAACATACATGGTGGGATTGTGAAAATATACAAAAGATTTGGATTATGGTATTTAAGGGAATTGGAGAAATTTTAGATATAAACTTAGAAATGTCACCAAGAATGGTGTTATTATTGTTGATAGAAAAACAAGATATAAATGAAGCTAAGAAATAATTGATTGTAAGTTTGATAATGGCAGTTAGGCTAGTGATAGTTAAAGATTGGAAGCAGAACTGGGTTTTGCAAAGGCATGAATGGTATAATGAAATATGGAACATGGTAATTAATGATAAACTGACGACAGAAATAAAAATTAAAAGATGATTAATGAAAGCAAACAAATATATTGAAATTTGGGAAGATTTTGTAAAGGCAGTACTGGTAGAAGGCAAAGGCTGTAAACCCAATCAATATTATATGAATTTCCGGGGGGAATATGGATATAATTGAAGTATATTGTTATAGTATCTGAATGGTGGTAGCATTGGTCTCTGGGGTGGTAGGGGCACTTTATCATTTACCTTTTATTATTGTGTTTTTGTTACATTATATTATTATTGTAGTGATGTATTGCATTTTTTTCTGTTTATAAAATAAAAAATTAAAATGGTGGCGGGGGGCGGATAATGGGGTGTGTTCCACCTGGTGGGATCTTACCGGGGAATGGGAAGGCATCAGGATACATTTTGTAGGCGAAGAAGCTTTGGGTAAGGTAGGTGAACAGGCAGTAGAAGCCAAGACTGACCACGATTGCAAGCGTGGAGAAGACAGTCCAGAACTTGATCTCTAGCATACTCTACCCAGGGAGACAAGGAGAAAAAGGCATGTGATTAACCCTACAGTGTGTGGTCTTTCCACAGCTGGCATCTCCTGGTGGGACCAAACCAGCCCTCTCTTGATCAAGCAAGGGCAGGAGACCAAGCAGCAAAGTTTGTGGATTATGTGGAGCTATTTCCTACCTTTATTATCATTATTACTACGTGTCACAGAAACAGAGCGAGTCAGAAGGGGTCTTCCGGGTCATCTAGTCTGACCCCCAGCTCTGCTCACAACATGCTCACCATGTGCATGTCCAGCATATCTTTGAACACCCGCACCGATGGGGCCTCAACCACCTCCCAGGGAAGCCCATTCCACACCCTCGGGGTCCTCACTGTCAGGAAGTGCTTCCTCGCATCCAAGTTGAACTTTGATTCCCTGAGAACTACTCTGTTGGAGCGCATCCTGCCCTCCCCTGTAGGGGAGAACAGATCTCTACCCATTACATTTCTATACTGCCCACAGCTGACACTTTCTGGGCAGTTCAGAATGTTTAAGTCACCCATCCAGGTTTCAACCAGGTCCGACCCTGCTTAGCTTCCAAGATTAGGCAGGAGCAGGCACTTCAGGCTATTCAGAAGCTTTATACAACTTTCCACAGCATTCCCCCTTTTGGTTCCCTTCTATTCCGAGCATCTCACAGCCACAGGTCCTGCCAGACAAACCCTGTGGGATTCTACGACAAGGTTTCGAGGTGGCTGCATGGAGGGGATGCAGTGGATGTGGTATACCTGGATTTCAGCAAGGCCTTTGACAGAGTGCCCCATGATATCCTGGTGGAGAAACTGAGGAGTTTTGGGATAGACCAAAGCACTGTCCGGTGGATTAGGGCATGGCTGACTGACCGAAAGCAGAAGGTAACCATTAGTGGGGAATCATCGGGATGGTGGCCAGTGACAAGCGGGGTCCCCCAGGGCTCTGTCCTGGGGCCAATCCTGTTTCATCTTTTCATTAACGACATGGAAGAAGGGGTGAACGGTCTGCTGATCAAATTCGCAGACGACACTAAAACTGGAGCAGTGGCCACAGCTGAGGAGCAGGTACTCCAGATCCAAAAGGCTCTGGACAGACTATGGAAGTGGGCAGGAGACAACAGGATGGCGTTCATTGTGGATAAGTGCAAGGTCTTGCACTTGGGGCATAGGAACGGGTGCCATAAGTACAGGTTGGGGGACAAGTGGCTGGAGAGCAGCACTTGTGAAAGGGACCTCGGGCTGCTGGTTGAATGCAGGCTGAACATGAGCCAGCCGTGTGATGCGGTGGTCAAGGGGGCGAACACCACCCTTGGTTGCATAGCCAGAAGTGTGGCTTCTAGATCAAGAGAGGTATTGCTACCACTCTGCACGACTCCGGTGCGCCCGCAACTGGAGTATTGTGCTCAGTTCTGGGCCCCTCATTACAGGAAGGATATAGCCAGGTTGGAGTCAGTGCAGCGTAGGGCCACAAGGCTGGTGGCCGGTTTGCAGGGGAAGCCGTATGAGGCGAGACTGAGGGAACTGGGTCTCTTCAGCCTGGAGGAGACTCAGAGGGGATCTGTTGGCGACATACAGGTGTGTGAGGGGTGTCACACAGAGGTGGGTAGGGACCTGTTCTCCCCTACAGAGGAAGGCAGGACACGCTCCAACGGAGCAAAGCTCAGGGAACCCAGGTTCAACTTGGATGCCAGGAAGCACTTCCTGACAGTGAGGACCCCAAGGGTGTGGAATGGGCTTCCCCGGGAGGGGGTTGAGGCCCCATTGGTGAAGGTGTTCAAGGATAGGCTGGACATCCACATGGTGGGCATGTCGTGAGTGAGGCGGCTGGTGCTGGAGGTCAGACTAGATGTCCCAGGAGACCCCTTCTGTTTCTGTGTTTCTATGTTAGAAGTTGTAGTCCAACACATCAGAAGCACAATAGGCTGGGGAAGACCATTTTTCCATATCTTAATAAAGGAAGCTGTTTACAAGCAAAGATTAAAAGATATTCCATGCATATTTGTACACACACTCTCATAAAAACACGGAAGTCAAATGCTCAAAGCAACATAACAAACCAACAGACCAGGTGACCTAGCTAAAGAGAAGGTTGTGATGGGTGCTTAGAACAGGAAGCTGCACCTAGAACAGGTTCTCTATCCCTAGAAGATAGAACCAGAAATATCTTCTCTGGTGCTCTTCAGGTTCACAGATGATGGAAAGCAATTGTCTAGGCATGGTATCAGTGGCTACCAAGCCACACACAGAAGGCTTTGTACCAGCATCTCTTCTTCTTGTGCATATTTTGAATCGCCCCTTGGCTCAAGGTAGCGAGCAGCTAAAAACGCAAACTGGAAGACTTTTCTGAGGCATCAGAGCCCCATTTTAATTTACTCTCTGCTCTGCTTGGGAACATCTCTGTTCTCCAGCCAGACTCAACCAGGACAAACTGCCTACCCACCTGGATGCAATTTGGGTTCATTCTTTCCACGCCCCTTCTGAAAAAGCTTGCTGAAAAAAACTTGCTCACCCACCCCCATCCCATCCCTGAGTCCAAGAGTGTTCTGAAATCATAGAAAGACTATTTCTTTCCCATGTTCATTCTTGTTTCTCTGCTAGGGTGGCCGTGTCTCCTTCACAGGGGGCAGTTCTCTATCTGAAGTTGTCTCCCACCAGGCTGCCCAGGTCTGGTGTGAAGAGAAGGAATCTTTAGAAGGGAGAATGGAGCAGAGGCCTGGAAGATGCCCACCCACAGGTAGCAGCACCTGGAGAGGCCATGACAGACCAGGTAGCAGATATGAAGCTCACCTGGACACCACCTTCCCACTAGGGTGCGATAGTTTGTTGCGATGTACCATCAAGTGATCTCCATCTTATGGTGAGCCTATGAATTAAATTTCCTGTCCTTCACAGCCTTGCTCAGCTTTTGTAAAGAGAGCGATAGTAAGTCTGTCCAAATTATAGTCAGATTCCAAAATCTGCATCTGTGCATTTAAATGGGCAAGTGCAAATTTCATGCAAACCCATCCTCTTTGTATGGGCAGTGCCTGGTTCTTACTACATTTTCCCTTCCCACATTCCTTTGCTGATGGCATATTTTCACACATTTTCTCAAGACCCATTGAAGGATTGCCCTGCTGAAATACTCTTATTTTTACCTCTTCCCTCCCCATCCCTTTTTCCTTGTGTGAAGCCGTTTTTAAGGCCGTAAACCTGTGTAGAGGGGCTGCCCTGTTTGATTCCTTGCAAGCCCACTTCAAGAGACTCTGGGGCTGAGGAATAGAGCCCTTTACAGTAATAAAGGATAAAGTAAACTAGGAAGTTCACAGTCAGAGAAAAGTCACTGGTTCAGCTTAGAAGAGACCTCATAAAATTCCACATCCTGCAAGCACCAAAACTCACCTCAATGATGACGGTCAAAATGGCCGAGGTGGCTATTATCATGGCAAAGGACTGTATATCACCAGCGACCTGCACGCTGGCTCGATCCTGCATGACCCAGAGGGTGATGTAGAAGTTGGCCAGGGAGACGAGAGAGCCGTGGACGAAAGCCATGCAGAAAGTTCGGAAACTGAAAAGCTGGCTTTTCTGGCCCACCTTGTACAGCTCTGGAAACTGCAAGCTTTTCTTGGCACTCACATCCTAAGCAACGAAGAAAGGGATAGAAAGGGGTTATGCCAAGGAAAGGCGACTTCGTGCTAGGACAAGAACCGACCCTTGAATCCCTGCTTGAGGGTTTCTGTTGGCCCCTGCAGGCGGTGACGGTTCCCAGGCTTCCCATAGAAGGTTGACTGGCAATTGGCAGGAGGAAGAGAAAATGGCAGAATAAGGTAGAGTCGCGTGAGAAACAAATGGTTTGCACATCAGCGGAGGGCCACCTATCCTGGCTTTAAGAGTAAGGGGTAGGCCAGCCGTAGCAAGAGAGCCGCCCTTGGTTTTTGCTGGAGATTTCCTGCATTTCAGGAGACTGGAGTGAATAGCCCACCCCTCATCAAATTCTGTGCCTAGCAAACTTACTCCCTTGTAAGACCAGACTGAGATGTCCAAAAGTACCTCTGCTTACCTGCTCAAATAACCCCATGCACAGCACCGGATACGAAGTGTAGAAAACATTATAGAGGGCCAGGAACCAACCCTCCAACAGGGGCTGAAGCATAAAAAGCACAAGAAGGTTAGAAGTCTGCGTTCGCGCAGCCCCTGGGGCAATCATGCTCCTGAAGTGGGCCCGATGCACCAAGAAACTTGTACCCAAATCTCTGCCCCTTTTGTCACTACACTTATGCATGCAATATATGGATAAAATCGCAACGGGATCGTGCTTAGGATTTGCAACAAGATTCTTTGGGAGTGAAGCATCAGTAATATTTGGGGAAATGCCCACGTAGTAGTTCCTGGGATTTCTTTTACTCAACCACAACTTTAAAAAACTTCACACTATTAAGGAGGGTGGGAGGAAGAAGAAGCAAACCTGTCACATCCCCCTTTTCGAACAAAATATAAAACAATCCATACTACTAATTACATATGCACTTTATATCTCTCCATGTAGGAACAGAACAGAACTTACTACCCTTACTAAATAATTATGCCTAAAGGCACCCCAAATCTCTGTCCCTTGATCCCTGCGTTTAACATAAAATGGGCTGGAAGTTTCTGGCCCAGAGAAAGCTACTGGGTACAGACAGACCTATCCTAGAACAGCGCCGCACTGCAGATGACCCATGCTCCACTAACTCAGCCAACATAGTCTCAAAGCAGTAAGTGGGACGTTTCTAGCTAAATAGCAGAGCAATCTTCTTCTTGGAATTACCTGCACAATTAATCTTAAGTAGGCCAGAAGGTTGTGACCTCCCAGGAGAAGAGCAGGGCAGCTTTGGTCCTGCCAGTTGCTTTGGCCTACGGGCGCCATAAGCCCCATCCAGCAAGGCTAATGCACAGGATGATGGGAGCTGTCCTCCAACACAGCCTGTGGGAATGCCCACACTCACCCTGTCTGGGGTCACGGAGGGACCAAAATGACAGCCTCTGGGACAAACTCATACACTTTCCCCCAGGTCAGACCCGAAAGGTATGAGCTGCAGGAGGAAACAAGTCCCTTGAATTCACCTGCGCCGTGAATCCCGTATGGAAAGCGAACCAGATCTGCACCATCATGCCGGCAAAGGTCTTGAAGAAGAAGTAGCGCAGAAACTTGCAGATCCGGATGTAGGACCATCGGCCGTGGACGAAAAGGAGGCGCTGCAGGTAGCGGAACTGGGCCAGGGCGTAATCGCTGCACTGCACCGCCTGCAGCCCTTCCTGCCCGCTGATCCCAACCCCAATGTCGGCAGCTGCAGAGGAAGCAAAGTGGTCCAGAGCTCAGAGGCAAAGGGCGCCAGGTCAGGTTGGTGGGGCTGAGAAGGAGGGACGTGGGCAGCTCAGTGGGTCCTCAGCTCAGGGGACGTAGTTATGTAAGTTGTTGTTGTTGTTGTTAGGCACGAAGTCACGTCCTACCCATTGCGACCCCACGGACAACATTCCCCCAGGCCCCCCTGTCCTCCACCATCCCTCACTCGGAGTCCACCCAAGCCCACACTCACTGCCCCAGTGACCCCACCCAGCCACCTCATCCTCTGCCGTCCCTTCTCCTTTTGCTATCATTTGTTCCCAGCATCAGGGTCTTCTCCAGGGAGTCCTTCCTTCTCATTAGGTGGCCAAAGCATTCCAGCTTCAGCTTCAGGATCTGGCCTTCTAAAGAGCAGTCAGGGTTGATCTCCTCTAGGACTGACCGGTTTGATCGCCTCGTGGTCCAAGGGACTCGCAGGAGTCTCCTCCAGTTCAAAGGCCTCAATTCTATGGTGCTCAGCCATCCTTATGGTCCAACTATCACAGCCATACATTGTTGTCGTTAGTCGCAAAGTCTTGTCTGACCCATCATAACCCCATGGACAACACTCCTCCAGACCTTCCTGTCCTCCACCATCCCCCGGAGTTCACTCAAGCTCACACCAACTGCTTCCGTGACCCCATCCAGCCACCTCAAGCCCTGCCATGTCCTTCTTCTTTTCCCATCTAGTGTTCCCAGCAAGAGGCTCTTCTCCAGGGAGTCCTTCCTTCTCATTAGGTGGCCAAATATATTATGTACTTATATATGTAGGGTAAAGGTAAAGGTTTCCCCTTGACGGTAAGTCCAGTCATGCCTGAGTCTAGGGGGCGGTGCTCATCTCCATTTCCTGGCCGAGGGAGCCGGCGTTTGTCCGCGGACAGTCTCCGTGGTCGTGTGGCTGCATGACTGAACACCGAGGAGCACGGAACGCTGTTACCTGCCCACCGAAGTGGCACCTTTTTATCTACCTGCATTTATGCATTCGAACTGCAAGGTTGGCAGGAGCTGGGACAGAGCAACGGGAACTCGCCCCGTTGTACAGATTCGAACCGGCGACATTTCAATCTACCAGCCCAGCAGCACCATGGTTTAAACCACTGTGCTTCTGCATCCCTGCTTATATATGTAAATATATGTAAATAAATAAGTAAATGCCTGATGCTTCCCACTCTTCCTGACTCCAGTTCTCCAAGCTCTCCTCTCTGGAAATGTTTCCCCAAATTCTCTCTCCTGCCCTTATTCCCTCAAGGAGAATTCTCCCTCTCCTGAAATACCTACCTGGTGAATTTATCTATTTATTTAAACTTAGATTCTGCATTACAATCCCCTATAGGAATCCCCAAGCAGATTGCAGCCAAATAATATAAAACAATGGGAACAGAAGGAACACTGCAAGATAGCGATCAAATAATAAAACAGGACTATGCCTAAGCACACCTCCTTTCTGCATGCCAGTCCCTGAATCGGGCCCCCTCCTCTGCTGGCAGCATGCCATGGGGTCAGGAGCCAGGGCCACCTGAGCTCCAGGCCATCTCCACCAAGCTGTGCATCTCAGTTATTGCCCAGGAAGCTTGCCCTTGAGATAAGCCTCTCCGCTTCTCTCACCCCGGTGTCCCTCACCCACATCTCCAGCCCCACTCCTGTGCCATTCCCCCTTCCCCTTCCCCTTCGGATTCTTCCAAAGTCCAGATAGCAGCCCTGGTGAAAGTGGATCCAAATGTCTCACCCCCAGTACCATGAAAGGCTGAAATATTCCCCACCCAGGGGGCTCTGGATGCTGGAGAAATTAAACCATCAACCAAAGATAACTCCCTCCAATTGCATTTCTGTGTGAGTGTTAAATTCCCATGATTCATGCAGTCTCAAGGACTTTTCACCCATCTGCCACAGCAACACCCCTCTGGCTTCTCCAACCCAGCACTGTCCATGCAGTGCTTAACTTTCCCTTGGAGGAATCAAAGTTGAGGCTTAAATACAGGGATCGCACATCCTTGTTTGCCAAGGACCCATCCTTCTCATACCACAAGCCCAGCCTGCCCAGACCCAGCAGGCTCCACCCCACAACCAACCCAACCTCTGCAATGCTCCTCAACAAGACCTTAAGTTGTCCCCTGGCCAGGCCTTCCTGAAGAAGACTCACTTTTAATCATGTTGACGTCATTGGCTCCATCTCCAATGGCCAAGGAGATGGCGTCCTTGTGTCTCTTCACCATCTGGACCACCTGGGCTTTCTGCTTGGGAGTCACCCGGCAACAGATCACCGCCTGGCACATCATGGCCAGGTCCACAAAGGCTTTTTCCACCAAGCTCTCATGATCTTTGCCAGAGTTTGCACGGCTGCAACCAAAGCGCTCCCAAAGGCCTTTCTTCCCAGTTGTCTTCTTCTCCCCCTCCACATAAAAGATTTTCTCCTATAAAAAAAGAGACATGGAAACAGAGAAACAGGGCAAGTCAGAAGGGGTCTCCCAGGTCATCTAGTCTGACCTCCGGCACCAGCTGGCTCCACTCATGACATGCCCATCATGTGCACATCCAGCCTATCCTTGAACACCTGCACCGATGGGGCCTCAATGACCTCTCGTGGAAGCCCATTCCACACCCTCAGGGTCCTAACTGTCAGGAAGTCCTTCCTGGCATCTAAATTGAACCTTGGTTCCCTGAGCTTGGCTCTGTTGGAACGCATCATGCCTTCCTCTGCAGGGGAGAACAGGTCCCTACCCACCTCTGTGTGACACCCCTCACACACCTGCATGTCACCAACAGATCCCCTCTGAGCCTCCTCTTCTCCAGGCTGAAGAGTCCCAGTTCCCTCAGTCTCGCCTCATACGGCACCCCCTGCAAACCGGCCACCAACCTTGTGGCCCTACGCTGCTCTGACTCTAACCTGGCCATATCGTTCCTGTAATGAGGGGCCCAAAACCAGAACACAATACTCCAATTGCAGGTGCACCAGAGTTGTGTAGAGTGGCAGGAATACCCCTCTCGATCTAGAAGCCACGCTTCTGGCGATGCAACCAAGGGTGGCGTTCGCCCTCTTGGCCACCGCATCACACGGCTGGCTCATGTTCAGCCTGCAGTCAACCAGCACCCCGAGGTCCCTTTCACAAGTGCTGCTCTCCAGCCACTTGTCCACTAACCTGTACTTGTGACACCCATCCCTATGCCCCAAGTGCAAGGCCTCGCACTTATCCACATTGAACGCCTCCCTGTTGTCTCCTGCCCACTTCCATAGTCTGTCCAGATCCTTTTGGATCTGGAGTACCTGCTCCTCATTTGTGGCCACTGCTCCAGTTTTAGTGTCGTCTGCGAATTTGATCAGAGACTGGTCACCCCTTCTTCCATGTCATTAATGAAAAGATTAAACAGGATCGGCCCCAGGACAGAGCCCTGGGGGACCCCGCTTGTCACTGGCTGCCATCCCGATGATTCCCCACTAATGGTTACCCTCTGCTTTCGGTCAGTCAGCCATGCCCTAATCCACCAGACGGTGCTTTGGTGTATCCCAAAACTCCTCAGTTTCTCCACCAGGATATCATGGGGCACTTTGTAAAAGGCCCTGCTGGAATCCAGGTAAACCACATCCACTGCATCCCCTCCATCCAGCCACCTCGAAACCTTGTCATAGAATTCACAAGGTTTGTCTGGCAGGACCTGTTTTTGAGGAAGCCGTGTTGTGTGGCTGTCAGCCTCCCTTCCCTCCCTGGCATCACTAGATCTCTCTCTGTTATGAGCCTTTCCATTGCTTTTCGTACAATGAATGTAAGGCTAACTGGCCTGTAATTCCCCATGTCCCTTCTACTACCCTTTCTGAAAATTGGGAGCACTGACGCCACCCTCCAGACCTCTGGAACCTCACCCGTTCTCCACGAGGCCTCAAAAATGGAGGCCAGAGGGCGTGAGAGAGCCCCTGCCAACTCTCTATGTTCTCTCAGGTGTAACCCGTCAGGGCCTGGCACCTTTGTAATGCCCAATGCCCTGAGCAGCCCCTCAACTTCAAGGGGGTGACTCTAATCTGTGCCCCTAAGTCCCCAGCCTCATCTAATCTCCTATGCAGATGTCCCCCGTCCTGCTTTGGGGAGAACACAGAGGCAAAATAGTCATTTAGCATCTGTGCCTGTTCCCTCGTATCAGTCACGGGCTCTCCTTCCTCCTTATTTAGTGGTCCCACCACTTGTCTCCCCTTCCTCTTCCTATTTACATGCTGAAAGAAGCCCTTTCTGTTGCTCTTGATATTCTTGGCAAGTCTCAGCTCGTAATCAGCCTTAGCCTTGTGAAGAATCCTTCTGCAATGGGCCTCCTCCTCCCAGTATACCCTTTTGTCTATTTCCCCCAGCACCCATTTCCTACGGAGGTTCCTCTTGCGTCTAATCCCTCTAACCGCCTCCTTTCGCATCCATGGCGGTGCTCTCCATTGCCTCCCTGCCTTATTAACTAGAAGTATCCTCAAGGCTTGTGCCTCCAAGACCTCCTTTTGAGTGCCATCCACCCCTCCTCAACTCGCTTGCCTCCCAGTAACCTGTCCCAGGAGATTTTCCCCAGTCTGGCCTTCAATGGCCAAAGTTGGCCCTCTTGAAGTCCCAGCTTCTGGTGCTCGACCTGCTGCACGTCCCCAGTCCCCTGATTTCAAGGCAAAGGATGGAGTGATCACTCGCATCCAGAGCTCCCCTAATCTGTACCTCATCTATCAGCTCCTCCCTGTTGGTCAAGACCAAGTCAAGGATGTGTCCCCCCCACCCCTGCCCTGTGTCAACTCTCAGACTTTCTTTGTGAAAAACCCTCCCTCTATAGCATCTAGGAAGCAACGTGACCCAGCTGTCACTGCTGAGTGAGTCTCCCAACTAATATCCGGGAGATTGAAATCTCCCATAATTACTGTGTCTCTCCCCTGAAATATCCTTAGACTCTTATCTTTCAGGACATCATCCCAGGTCTCAAGTTGACCTGGAGGGCAATAACTTGCCCCCACTGTTGGTCTCTTTCCCTGTCAAAACCCCTAAGTTTCACCCAGGCCGCCTCTACCAGATCCCCATCTGTGCTGCATCCTATCTCACTGCATCCTATCCCTTCCCTGACGTATGAAGTCACGTCCCCACCCCTCTTGCCCTTCCTGTCCTTTCTAAAAAGGTGATACCCCTCTATGTTCACACTCCAGTCTTGCCTTTCATCCCACCAGGTTTCCATGATCCCCACCAGGTCAGACCCTCCCATTCCCAGGAGAGCTTCCAGCTCTTCCTGCTTGTTACCCTTGCTCCTAGCATTGGTGTACCTGCACCCCAACTCCTTCCCACCGCTCCCTTTCCTTGGAGTCCCCAGCCTCCTCCTGCCTCCCATCCTCCCTGATACCTGGCCCCTCTCTGAAGGAGGCCTGTCAGTCCCTGCAGTACCTCTAAAACCTGCTCCCAGAGCCCTGATCCTCTCCCCACGCTTGTCCAGTGCAGAATCGTTACTGGAGGGCCTGAGCCCACCCTACCGCACCTCAGTTTAAAGTCTTCTGGACTTTAAAGCTCGCTAGAGCATCTCCAAAGGACCTTTTCCCCATCCTCATGAGGTGCAACCCATCCCTTGCCAGAAGTCCATTGGCAAGAAACCGGGGGCCGTGGTCGAGGAACCCGAAGCGTTCCTTCTGGCACCACACCTAAGCCAGTCGTTCACCTCGGAGGCCCTCCTGTCCCTGCCTGGCCCAAATCCCCGGACCAGTACGATCGACGAGGCGACCACTTGGACCTTTAGCTCCCTGAGTTTCTTCCCCAAGGCCTCAAAGTCCCTGGTGGTCCCAACCACACGCTGCCTGGCCACATCGTTTGTGCCCACATGGATCACCAGGAGCGGCTGGTGACCCCGGAGTGAACAAGGCGCTCCACTCTGTCCTTCACATGCTGGATGCGTGCGCCCAGCAGGCAGCAAACCTCCCTTGTCTCCAGGTTGGGGCGGCCTCAGTGCCCCTCAGCAGGGAGTCCCCAACAACAACCACCCACCACTGTGTCTTCCTGGTGGTGGTGGGCGGCCGTGCCCTGGCCCTCGCCTCTCCTGCAGCGGCCCCCTGGCTGCGTGTGGTCCCAGGCTGGGGGTCCTGCTGGTCCCCCAGGCCTCCTCAGCCCCAGCCTCCCCAAGCAGAGAGAACCTGCTCCCAGCTCCAGGTCGGTGCCAGGGAAGGAGGAGGCCATGCCGGACTCCCCCTCCTGCGAGTGACGTGGGAGGAAAGTGCTCAAACACACAGGAACCATCCCAGTTTTTCAGAATGATTAGAATCACCCTGTTTTTGCCATGGCTGACCCAGGTAAAGCCTCTGCTGGTAAGCCTCTGCCCTAGCTAAGCTGAACACTGCAGCAAAATGTTACAGGAGGTGCTTCTTTTCCAGCAGGGGGAACATAAAATTTGCAGGACTTCATGGTTCCACATGATGCATTTACCACAAATACACACAAATACAAACCTATCAAGACAGTGCACAACAATTTAAAACAACAAAGCCTAAATAAAATATTAAAACCCAGAGATATTATAATTGTGTGGGCATTAAACGGCTATATGCTAGAAAATGCTGAATTTAAAATATGGTTCTCCACTCTGTTCCTAAAATCTAGGAGAGGCATTTAAACAGAATGGTGGAGTAGTCACTTCAAGGGAGGGTATTCAAAAGGCAGTCATAACTTTGGCTTCAGCCTTTGCAGAAAAAAGGTTTATGAACTGGAAGGTCCCAGTGGACCATTTCCAAAGCATGACAGACCATTCCAGATTATTAAACTCATGGGGAGGCTGTGTGGTGTGTTTAGCATTCCAAATATGTACCTAGAGCTAGGTTTCCCCTCCTTCCACATCCAGCAACCCATATCCAGCAAAGAAAGAGTCTCTGAGCATGCAGAAAGTAGTTTGTTGAAGCCAAACTAGAAACTATTTCCAAGAACCCTCCTTCTGAGTAACCCTGGACCCCAGTCCTTGGAAAGTGCCTTTCTGAAAAGGGCAAACCTTCTAGCCATGCACAGCCCCTCTAGTTGGCCAGCTCTTCTGTCCCAGCACCATGCCATGGGGTCAAGGTCTGGACCAGGCTCCTCTGGGCCTGTTCCCATGCCCCTTCTGGCTCCTGCAGGCCCTGGCCGTTCTCACAGCGGCCTTGAGATAAGTTCTTCCACCTCGCCATCTCTATGGCTGGGGCCCTCATCCCCCAGGGTCCATCCTCCCCAGCCAAGGAGTCCGTGTCACCCTGGCTCTGAAACACGTGCCAAGAACAACTGCCTCTTTCACTGCCAAACACGTGTGAGCTTTGCATGACCCACCATGTCTGGATTCACATGACACAACCACCCTGCAGTCAGAGCTGCACAGGCCTTGTGACACCCGTGGGCGCTGCGGCTCATCATGAACTAGCCCATGGAGGGCTCGACCACATCATCCAAGGCTGGTTGATCTCATGGGCGAGAACATGAGTGGCTCCAGCCAGGTCTTCTGTGCCTGGTTGGAAGGTGAGCAGGCAAGCTGGAGGTTTGGGCGAGGAAAGAGACAGGAGGAAATAAATCTTACTAGGAAGTCCCCCGTGACCACCAGGGCTTTCTTGTCATGCCTCGAGAAGGCCTGGGTTGGTGGGAAAGAGCCTTCGTCGCAAAGAGCTTCTTCACTGCCAGGTAAGCTGCTTTTGCTGAGCCATGGTTCTTTCAGGATCTCACTGCAAAACAAGGTGCAGGGACTGGAAGCACAAGCCGGCTGATGAATGCAACGGGCTGGAAAGGTTTGCCAGCTGTCCCCTCTGCAATGCTCCCCTTCCATCTAGCTGTGGTAGCAGCAAGGAATGTTCACTAACACTCCAACTGCTGGCTGGGAAGGCTCAGGGTCGGGATAGGACACTGGCCAAGCACAGCCGCTCACGGGGTCTATGCATGCTGGGAGAGGGGCCTCTACAGCACAGCAGTGGACCCACACAAAAGTTACCAAACTTGACTTCCACTGAAGTCGGTGGGTCCACTCTAGGTGTGGCCATGGGTTTACTCTAGCTAGGTCTGGATTCAGCCCAGTCTCCTGAGCCCACCACCTCTTCCTCCAGAACATCTCCCCATCATACCTGATATCACTCTCTTCCAGGATAGCCATATCATCCGAAAGGAGTTGACATGCAAAACCAATATTGACCGCTGTTTCTGCAAACACAGCAAAGATCACAGATTAGATGCTGAAGCCAGAAGGGGCAAGGAAGCAGCACTGATCTTTTTGCTTCCATCTTTGCACTGACTGGGTGTCTTCGTTTTCAAAAGAAAGCCACAAAGCAAATGCACTTTGAAACATATATGTCTGGATTGAATGAACTTTTAAAATGTTTTATCATGAAATTTATTTATGGGCGGAAATGAACATGCAGAGATCAAATTCTTAGATTTCTCTAAACAGGTCAAGAACGGAGTCATGATCCCCAGTTTTCAGTCTGGACCTTTGTTTTCCAGCATCTGAAATCCAATCTGGAGAGGTTTTTCTGGATTGAAAATAGAAATAAGAAATAAAATAGAAATAGAAAATAGAAAATAGAAAAAATAGAAAATAGAAAAATAGAGAAAATAAAATAGAAATAGAAAATAAAACAATTTTCTGTTTCCCAGATTTTGCACTCTACTCTGGAGGAGTGGAATGAACACACACTCTGCTTTCTAGCTCTCACATTACACCCTGGAAGACTCTTCTGGACTGGAAAGAAATCTTCTAATTTCTATCTTCTGTCTTGCTGCTTCCATACTCTGTTCTGAAGGAGTTCTGCCAAACTGGAATGAAGCTGTTTTGATGCCTGCTAATCTTTTTCAGAAGAGGTTCTGAGGCACCAAGCTTGTTTCTGCTGCAGCAGCATTGGTCCAGGTGGAACCAAGCTGGAGAACCATCGATACAACATCAGAACCAGGCCCGACTCTTGATAAAGCAGGGCTGGGAAGAAGGTGTGCTGCAGGTGCGGTCAAGGTTGCTGGGACTTGAAGTCCAGCACATCAGAAATGTGCCGTAAGCTTTATACACTCCATACCTTGCTTGTCTCCTGTCAGCACCCACACTTTGATGTCCCCCCGTTTGAGCAGCTGAATGGTTTCAGGCACCCCGTCTTGCAGCTTGTCCTCAATTGCTGTGGCACCCAGGAGCTGAAAGAGCAAACCAGGCAAAGGGGCAAGAAAAAGCCTGAAATCAGCCAGGAAAGGGTTATCCTTTTACTGTGCAAAATCGCGGCCCTGGGAGATTCTTTTTCAGGATCTTTGTCATTGTTTTTAACTGCAACTGTGTTTTGCCCATGTGTAGTGTAAAGCTTGCCCTCGGTGATTCCACTGAGACAATCTTTTGATTATGTCTCAATCTTTTGGAAGCTCTTTTGCTCATGAAGTGAAATGCGCTTTGAGGGCTGAAGGGGGCCCAGGGCAGAAAAACTAGAAGCGAGTCAGAAAGCTGAAGCCATGTCCAAAGACCATGTGCAGATCTGCCAAAGGAATGAAAGCCGGGGAATCATGGAAGCACGGAAGAGAGGGTGTGCCTACCCAGAGATTCTTCTCAAGGTCCTCATACACCTTGTCAAGCTCCTGGGCACGATCCTGCAACAGGATGGTGGCAGCGTGGTGGTTCTTGCTCCACAGGGCGTACTCCTGTTCGTCAACCTCTCTGGTAGCTAAGCACAGAGTCCTCAAGGTCTCTGCAGCAAAACTCTGGGAGAGAAGACAACACAGGGCTAACACAAAGAAGACTCTGTAATGGATTTGCAACAGGAAGCAGTGTGGAGTAGTGGATAGAGCAGTCCTTCTTAAGCCTGCACTAGAATGCCACAATAAATAAGTTGGGATTATTAAGTATTATGGATCAGGCTTCCATGAATAGGTGAGTTGGGAGAGCAACAGGTTGGAGGAAGCAGATAGAACAACGATTATTCAAATAACCCTCAAGGATAATGAGGCTTGCTAAGTATAATGAACAGGAGTAATGCGCAATACATGGATCATCAGTGCTCAATTCATTAAAGCTTCTTTGAAGCCAAGGCACCCAACCACAGTGAGGAGTGTGCCTGTTGTCTTTCTGAATGATCCCCTGATCTCACCTATCTTTCAAGCAGCCTCTCTCATTTCCATCATACCAGCCTTGAGCAAGACTGGATTGTTCAGGTCTTCCAGCCCATAGTGATGTCGCAAGAGGATCTGGTCTGCTCTCTTAGCAGGTCACCCTTCCAGTAGGGATTATGGTTCTGACTCATGTAGACAGGATTCCCGACAAAGCTTTTGTTGTATAAGCTTTCAACAGAACCTCCTCTTTCAAATTAAAGCACTGACAGCATTGCAGGGATTCTGTTCCTTATATCTGATCAAGCCTTTCTAACAAAGAACTCAGTGAGATGCAAACACTGCCATTAATCTGGCAGCAGACCTGAGTGGTGGCTTAGAGAACTGGTTCCGCATTTTGCTTCCCCTTCTGAAGAGAAGCTCTCAAATTTCCCTCTGCTTGAGGATTCACCTTGCCTCCCTGAGCAGCAGCAACTACTCATCTCCTGCCTCAGGTAGGCAGTGATTCACACCTTTCCCCTTCTTTTCCTGAGTTTGGTGCCAACTCACATTAAGCGCCTTGATGGTGCAACCTTCCGTAGCCTGGTCGCAGTGAAGTCTCTCCAAGATCACGGTGTCAGCCCCCTTGGTGTAAAGTTTGATGTGGCCTTCAGGGTCTCTCACTGAAAGGAGGAAACAAACCCTCTTGAGCAGTGTACACTAGCCTGAGCACCCTTGGTGAGCAGAAATGACATGCAGGTGAGTGAGCGGCACACACATTCAGCATAAAAGCCTAGCAGGCTGCAGCAGGAGACATTCCAGGTGGAAGTACAGAAACAGAGCAAGTCAGAAGGGGTCTCCTGGGCCATCTAGTCTGACCCCCAACTCCAGCTGGCTCTGCTCAGAGGATCCTGAGCAAAGTGGTGCCTGAGAGGGGCCTTCCTGTATCAATGATCTATCCCAGTGCCAGGCTGGGAAAATAGAAGAAGAGGAGGAGGAGGAGGAAGATGAGGAAATAAAAAAAATAACCATAAAACTAAAGGAGGGCCCTGGGAAGCTGCCCAAGGGTTCCAGGCACTGGTAAGGGCATCAGACAAGTGTGCATGGCAAACCAGATGCCCCACAGAAAGCCCCTCGGTGGAGCAATAGTGCAGTGGAGCCATCTTGTGGTCACTTTGGAAGCAGGACTTAGAAACAGGGCCAGGCTTGGAGAAAGGGGCTTCCAAGCCATGGAGGGAATCATGCTGAGTAGGGCAAGGAAGACAGAAGGTGTGGGTTAGTAAATACCGCAGCAAGTTCTGTTTCAGGCCTCCGAAAAGCCCACCTTTCCGTTCATATTTCTAACGTTACATAGGCATGTTTCAATTTCAGATTTCATCGAAGATTTCGTCCAGAAAGGGGCACTTCCAGACGCGTTCACACTCACCAAGGATGGACATCCGTTTGCGCACACTGTTAAAATCCAGCAGCGCCAACACTTCGTAGGTCCTTTCCACGCCCAGCTCACTAATGGTGATGCTTTCCGGGGTTCGGGAGAGAAAGACATAGCCCATATTCCTGGCGGCCATCACCAAGGCTTCTTCATCCGGGGAGGCTGCCTGATAAAGTACTTGATCTAGGAGAGAGAAATATTCCTAAGTCATTTCTGGGATGCTTGGACTGTTATGCTAAGAACCTTCAAAGTGACCCCAGCTTTTGAAATCTGCAAGATTCCTTGAAAACATGAATGTAATTTTTAAACTTTTGTTAACCACCCAGAGAGCCTCAGCTATCAGGCAGTATAAAAACGAACTCAATCAAACAATTAATTAAGCATCTCTGGGGTGCTTTCTCTGAGTGGCACCTGCTAATTGCCAGGTGGGGGTTAATTAATTCTCACTGCTGGGTTGTGCTTTATGTCCACCTGTAACCCACCTTGGAAAAGTTGAACAAAGGGAGAATAGAAACATGTTTTAAGTAATCTTCCATCACGAGCTTTGTTTGGATGGGTGTAAGTATAACCTTGCTGTTTGAACACTTTGCAGGACCAAATGCAGTGAAAGAAAAAAGGTTTCCCCTGACATAAGTCCACACTCATGTCCAACACCAGGAGGCACTGTTAATCTCTGTTTCTTAGCACTGTCCACATTTGTCCGCAGTCTCCGTGGTCATGTCGCCAGCATGACTAAACACCCAAGTGCACAGATCACTGTTACCTGCCCACCTGTGGTTCCTGTTTACCTACTAACATTTGCATGCTTTCAAGCTGGAATACACAAAACTAGGAGATCCTGAGTACAAACCATTAGGGAGCAGGGTCAGTCTTCATACCCTCATTATTTGAGCTTCTTAGAACCAAGAAGCTCGACTACTCAAACCAATCAAGTGATGCAAACTGCACTGAATGCCTTAGTTTAAGTTGGTTTCAACCCTGCCCCAAATAAACAGATATCATGTAAACTACACTCTAAATTCAGAGACTGGCAGAGCAGAATTCAAAGCGTAAACCCCTACCTACCCAAGATGTACGTCAAATCTGTATCCAAAATTGTTGCTGACTAAGGCAGATGACAGAAGATGGGCAAATCCAGACGTAGAAGCATAGAACCATAGAATAGTAGAGTTGGAAGGGGCCATGAAGGCCATCCAGTCCAGCCCCTGCTCTTGCAGGATATCAAGCTACACCATCCCACTCAGAGGGCTGCCCAGTTTGGCCTTGAGTGCCTCCAGTGTGGGAGAGCCCCCACCTCTCCAGGCAGCTGGTCCCATGGTCATGTTGCTCTGACAGTGAGGAAGCTTTTCCTGATATCTAGCCTGAATCTGGCTTGCTGCTGCTGGACTTGAATTTTCCATGTCATACATTCTTTTACCAGTGAGAAGATATCTTGGCCTTCCTCTTTGTGATAGTCTTTGAAGGACTTATAGAGATATCATGTCCCCACTCAGCCTTCCCTTCTCAAGGCGGAATGTGCCCAGTTCCCTCAGTCTCTCCTCACAGGGCAGCATGTTCAAACCCTGCATCATTTTGTTGACCTCCAAGAGACCCTTTCTTAAAACTCTTAAAACTGCCTCTTTCTTAAAACTTGGTGCCAGTCCCCTTTCCTGTGCTCCATAGTCTTTCCTCTATCTCCCTTTCATGGATGGTTTCCTGATTTTTGCACAATATTCTCCATCCTTAAAAGCTGAAATGCCCCTCTTAAGATTTGGTTAGTGGCAGGGAAGACTTTTAGCTTTGAGTCAAAATGTGCATAACTGGGAAGCAGCAGATTCCCTATGGGAGACCTGGGCCTGGGTTCAAAGAGAGTCCCCAACCCAGGATGGATTTGTAGAGCTTTACAGGTCCTCAAGCAAAGAGAAAGTTTTTGTATCAGGACCACCTGGCAACTTTCTTCCTGCGAAATGCATGCTGTGCACCTGAGCCAAGTCACCTGTTGCACCAGAAATGGCTCATGATCTCACTGGACTGACATTTCCACACATCAAAAACATATAAATAGTTGAGGTTTCACCTGCCATTTCCAAACCACCCCACGTCAATGGGTAGCGATTAATCTGCCTGTAACTCTAATCACTTTGTTTGTTTATGCAGAATTCACAAAACTGGGTGCTCATGCGCCAAAGGGATGCGCAGGGCAGGCCCCTGTGGCTATGGGCACCCTTGCCCAGCTGATCCCTTTCAACTGTCAAGAGAGAAGTAAGCAGAGATATGGGAGAAAAGGGTAATTAGCCCTTCTGATTTCTTCTTTGCAGGCAGCAGGGTTTCCAAGGAGATGCTCCTGAAATGCTGTTTTTCAATCCAAACTTCTCTTGGAACTTTAGAGTTCCCAGATTCTTTAGTTTAATGCATCCAGGATCTGCCAGTGGTCTGCGATTTGAGAGGGAGTGGAGAACAGCGGCGATGAAGGAACTAGAAAAAAACTCATCAAGTGTACGGGGGGTGCATTGGAGACGAAGGGCAGGACTGTTCCCGCTCTTGTGTTCCAGGTGGCTATGCCTGGGCATGGAAGCCGGACAGGGAAGAAAGTGGACAGGAAGAAAATGGATGTGTTTGAAACGTGGTGCTGGAGGAGAGCTTTGGGAATCCCCTGAACTGACAGAAAAGCAAGTCAGTCAGTCCTGAATCCAACCAAGCAGACCTTGCCCTGGAAGCCAAAATGATAAACAGGAGCTGCTGCATTTTGGGCACATCCTGAGATGGCAAGAGTCCCTGGAGAAGACAGAGGAGGAGGAGGAGGAGGAGGAGGAGGAGATGGTGCTGAAGAAGGAGAACATGGTAGAGATGGTGATGGTGGAGGAGGAGGAGGAGGAGGAGAGTGGGCGGGGAGACCAACTATGAGATGATTTGGGAAAGGAAGCCATAGCCTTGGGATGACAAACGCTGAGCTGAGCTGTCAGGACCTTTTGGAGACCAGAGTCCCCATACGTCCAAAACAACTTGACAGCATCTCCGAAACATGAACCAAAGAGTTGACTCGTTGTATGTTCATTTTATACATTTGTTGTTGTTGTTAGTCGCAAAGTCATGTCTGACCCATTGCGACCCCATGGACAACACTCCTCCAGGCCTTCCTGTCCTCCACCGTCCCCTGGAGTCCAGCCAAGCCCACACCCTCCGCCCCAGGGACCCCACCCAGCCTCCTCATCCTCTGCCGTCCCCTTCTTCTTTTGCCGTCAATCCTTCCCAGCATCAGGGTCTTCTCCAGGGAGTCCTTCCTTCTCATTAGGTGGCCAAAGTATTTGAGCTTCAGCTTCAGGATCTGGCCTTCTAAAGAGCAGTCAGGGTTGATCTCCTCTAGGACTGACCAGTTTGATCGCCTTGCGGTCCAAGGGACTCACAGAGTCTCCCCCAGCACCACAATCCAAAGGCCTCAATTCTTCAGCGCTCAGCCTTCCTTATGGTCCAGCTTTCACAGCCATACATTGCCACTGGGAAAACCATTGCCTTGACTATACGCACTTTTGTTGGCAGGGTGATGTCCCTGCTTTTTAGTATGCTGTCTAGATTTGCCATAGCTTTCCTCCCAAGGAGCAAGTGTCTTTTAATTTCTTGGCTGCAGTCCCTGTCTGCGGTGATCTTGGAGCCCAGGAAAATAAAATCTGTCGCTCCCTCCATTTCTTCCCCATCTATTTGCCAGGAAGTGAGAGGAACAGATGCCATGATCTTAGTCTTCTTAATGTTGAGTTTCAAGCCAGGTTTTCCACTCTCCTCTTTTACCCGCATCAAGAGGCTATTTAGTTCCTCTTCACCTTCTGCCATTAGTGTGGTATCATCTGCATATCTGAGGTTGTTGAGATTTCTCCCAGCAGTCTTAATTCCAACTGGTGATTCATCCAGCCCCGTCTTTCTACATATCAGATCCTAAATCTGACTCACAGAGCAGCTGGTTCCTTTCTTTAAACCATAAGAATGCACTCTTACTCTTGTTCATATCCACATACATGTTATGAGTCTGTGCACCTGCTTTTTCTAAGGCAGCCTTTGAAAAGAAATACATTTTTGTGTACAACCTGTGAACTGTGACCTGCACCACAACATTTGGAGAAATGCACCATCCAAAGACTAATGGCTTTCTCACCTACACATTAGTCTGCAAAATGCAAATGGAATCACAGTTTAAAAAAAAAATACAGATCAAGCAAAATTCTCCACCAGGGTAGGGAAACTTCTGTTTGCATTGCCTTTTTAAACAGACCAAATGATACACACTTCCAAGAACAACAAGCAAATCAGTTAGCCTCTAAATTGTGCATGAATTTTGTGATACAATTCTCCCCTGAAAAAAATGTATGAAAGGATATATCAAAAGGAATATTTTACATTTATATGCACACACACCAGAGTATTTTGGAGGAAAATGCATACAAAAATGTATAACGTGTGGCTAACCCTCCCAATTTCTCATGCACTTTTTAAAAATCGCAGTTGGACACAGAAATGGGCATACAATTAACTTCTGAACGAACAAATGAACTGATGGGTCAGAAATGGTCAAATCCTTCCAACCTTTGGCTATGAATATTGATTCATGTACATGCATTGATAAAAGACTGCAGCCAAATCTGGGATGGGTTAAACCCATAAAGGAAGACGCAGCCTTGAAAATGTAAGAGCCAAGCAGGGCTGTTGAGGACAGGGTGTTTTGAAGGGTTTTGGTTCATTAGGCCGCCATAAATTGGCAACACACAGGTGTATGAGGGGGTGTCAAACGGAGGTGGGTAGAGACCTGTTCTCCCCTGCAGAGGAAGGCAGGACGCACTCCAACAGAGCCAAGCTCAGGGAACCCAGGTTCCATTTGGATGCCAGGAAGCACTTCCTGACAGTCGGGACCCCGAGGGTGTGGAATGGGCTTCCACGGGAGGGGGTTGAGGCCCCATCGGTGCGGGTGTTCAAGGATAGGCTGGACATGCACATGGTGGGCATGTTGTGAGCGGAACCGGCTGGAGCCAGGGGTCACACTAGATGGCCCCAGAGACCCCTTCTGACTCGCTCTGTTTCTATGTAGTAGTAATAATAATAATAATAATAATAATAATAATAATATAGCAACCACAAGTAATCTTTATGTATTCTACAGAAGTCAGAGTGCACTGAGATACATTTGGGATGGGGTTTTGTCATCTTTCAGGACACCTGTGCCTATTGTCCAGGTGAGTGGATTATTTCTAGCTTCTTCCCTCTGCAATGCAAATTGATCCTATGAGATTCAGTTTACAGTAAATTGCACTTCTATAGCCAAAATAAAATGTGCTGTCGGTTAAAATAATCTGTGGGATATCAAACTTGATCTAGGAGCTTTCTCAATCTGGCGAGGTACTCAACATTGTCCTGTCACGGCTGAATGGTACACTCAGGGGGATTAATAGAAATGGAAAGCATCAACTTTCACCAGGCCCATTCCAATTTCAGAAAAGGTTATTAATCCCTCCATATCCAGTGTCATGCCTGGATAGATAAATACATCCAGACATCTGAGAATCTCACATAATAACCAACAAGCCAGCATTTTGGCACCGAGATAGATTCACCAAATCTCCAGTACTCTCTTTAACTAATTCTGCAGAGAACCCTTTGGAGAGCCTGAAACATAGAGAGGGGCTTGGGAATTATTATTATTATTATTATTATTATTATTATTATTATTATTATTATTACATTTCTAAATTTAAAACCTTACAGTCATTTACCATGGCTAAAACAAAAAAATCTGAAAAGTATTGCACAAATATACATGAATCATTCCATTTAGGGGAAAAATGTCTTTCACTCTTGCCTCGATAAAGACGTGGAAACATAAGACCAAAATGCCCATCCAAAGTAGAGCTCTGTTTGTTTGCCTGAAATTCAGAAGGGTCAATCAGCCAGTACTAGGGAAAGAGCTTCTGGCCTGGTATAAAGTCATTCCAGAGTCTATGAGGTTCCTTGCCAATGAATGAGTTTGGACAACACAATAACTCACATTCAAAGGTTCAGTATGGGTTGAACGTAGGTTGTTATTGGACTATGGATTGTCACAGAAATGTGAGTTATGTGTCACTTGAACCCAGCTGAGATAACAAACCATGGTGAGCAACCTGCAACTCACAACCCAACAGCAAATTATGACTTGTTCATGAGTTAGAAACACAGAAACAGAGCGAGTCAGAAGGGCTCTCCCGGGCCATCTAGTCTGACCCCTGGCTCCAGCCGGCTTCACTCATGACATGCCCTCCATGTGCATGTTCAGCCTATCTAGAGTTGTTCATGCTTAACATGCCTTTTATTCATTTCTCAGCTTTTACTTGCAAGAAACTCAAGTTGGTTCATATAACTCAGTTCATGAGTGTGGGTTCTTGTATTGTTGGAACCAATCAATTCAATGACCCCCTATCTAATTCCCCCATCTAGTCTTGTCTTTTCTCTGCAACAGGGAAGTAGAACTTCAGGTCAGGAGCCAAATCTGTCCTTCTAGAGATCCAAATTCAGCCTTCCAAGGCTTTCCTGAATGTTTATCGTGTACACCACCCTAAGCATCTTCTACCATTAAAATAAACTTTACAAATAATTCAACATGCATTTAAAAATAGTCTATCCCTATTCTGAACAATCAACTGCTTCCAGCCACATTCTGAAAAACCCATAATGCGTCAAAGAAAAACAGGTCTCATACGGATCATCAAAGTGAGCAAGAACTGAGTGGGAGAAAATGCAGGGTTCCAGGGACACTGTGCAGTCATTCCAGCCCCCATGTCAACACCTGGGTCTTTGTGATGGGCATGACCTCTCAAAGGGTTGAATTTCCTCTTGAGAGCTTTTCAAGGGCCAGATTCCACTTGGTGAGCCAAAATACCAAGTCCACCCACCTACTTTAGCTTGAAGGTCTAAATGCTGCCACAGAGTTCTTAGGAGGTGGTGTCTGAGCCTTTTAGAGTGGGGGAACTCTGTACGACCATCGATCATCAGGGGTTGGCGTATGACCATCTGGAGGATCCCGCAGCGCTTCTCCTCAGACCTTGGGGGGACCATATTTGGTCCCCAGACTTAAGGTTCTTCAGCTTGCAGTTTCTCTGCAAAAATAGGGACCCTGCAGGCCTCAGATGGTTATAAGGGTGACTGACCTAATGCACACCCTCGGACATTTTACCCATGCAAAATCCTGTTATTGTTTGTTTTTATTTATTTCCTTTCTCTGCTACTCAGCCCTCAAAGCTCTGTGGGGAGCCCAAAACAATTAATAAAACACAGTGCAAAACACAATCAAAAGAGCATCAAATGGACGCTGTCATCAACTTTCACTTGTACATTTTGTACAACAGGGAAATCAGTTTTGGCACAGTGTGTCTTGTTAAAAATACCCGATATGCCTCTCCCATCATGCCACTGCAGACCTCTAAGTCACAATTTTAGGCATGTTTAGGCAGGAAAAGTCAGCAGTTCTCTTCCCATTAGTAAACACTCCCCTCCCATTAATAAAACACTTCCATTTTCACTTTGCATTTTTTGAGCGTACATTTTGAATGCACGCCGTTTGGGGATTTGCATCTTTGCCTGCCACAAAACACCAGACAAAACAAAACCCTAACTGATTATACACATTTCATTAGCCACATATGCTCCATTCCATGCTTAGTCCTAGGAAGTGGAAATGTGATGTTCTCCATCTAACAGTGCAAACCCAACAAATGTTTCATACATCCTACTGATAATTCCAGAAACATAGGAACAGAGTGAGTCAGAAGGGGTCTTCCGGGCCATCTAGTCTGACCCCTGGCTCTAGCCGGCTCTGCTCACAACATGCCCACCATGTGCATGTCCAGGCTATCTGTCTCTCTCTCTCTCTCTGTCTCTGTCTCTCGCTCTGTCTCTGTCTCTGACTCTGTCTCATATATGTAAAATGTCTATACCTTCCCATTGTGGAAGGTCTCTGGGTTAGTGAAATTTTTGTGCAAGACTCAGAGTTCTATTCTAGGCCCAGAATTCTTCAAATCGAAGTTTCTTTTGCAACAAGCTGCAGTTTGCGCAGCTCTGGATTTTGGAGAAACAGAAACATAGAAACAGAGCGAGTCAGAAGGGGCCTCCCGGGCCATCTAGTCTGACCTCTGGCTCCAGCCAGCTCCGCTCATGACATGCCCACCATGTGCGTGTCCAGCCTATCTTTGAACATCATGTGGTGCAGCCACTGGAATAGTGGGAGCCAGGAGATGTGGCTTCTAGTCCAAACTTGGCCATGGTATTCACTGGAAGGCTTTGAGTTGGTTACTGATTCTCAACTGAACCTACTTGGAAGTTTGTTGTGAGGACGAAACTGGAAAGGAAGATGATTGCTTGCAGGAAAAACAGTGTGATGTAGTGGGAATAAATAAGTAGGGGTTTTTGTGTGTGATGGGAAGGATATTTTCAGAACTCAGATACGTGGGTAAAAATACAGCATCAATTATCTAGATTTTACCCAGACATTCTACTTTCATTCACATGCCCCTCCTGGGACCTGGTGACATGAAAGGAAGCAATAAACTTACTGTCTTTCTCCTCCACCATGACTGTGTGGCAAAGGGCAAGCAGACGTAGGAATTCCCGCACCAAAGGATTGCCATCCCTCTGGATGGTATCCAGGAGTGAAGCATTATAAAATTCCAGTTTCCTGTCCCAATACTTGTTCCAGTTCAAAGGAGCATCCTGAAGGAAAGTACAAATGCACTTTAGAAATGCAAACCAGGAGAGAATTAACTCATCTCTGTTTCCTCTTTCTTAGCAATTGTTTATTTTAAAGTGTGTGTGTGTGTGTGTGGGGCGGAGAGAGATTTATTGTCTGTTCCTGCACTTCATTTCATCCCATATACAAGAGTCCAGCCGCAAGCCACTGAATCCTCACTACCTGATGCCCCTGAGCTAGCAAACTCATTTCTTGGGACCCTACTAATTAACCGCCTAGTTTTACAACTGTAAATCTGAAAGCCTTGAAGAACCACCTGGTTTCCCTCTTTACAAAGGCCTGATGGAGAAGCCTCTGTGTTGCTGTTCTTCTTGTTCTAGGGGTCCATACTCTGCAGTAGCCCACACTCTTTCGGAGGTGTCACTTCTAAAAAGGCTTTCGAGGGAGCCACCTGCATCCCCTGCTGGGGAAGCCAGAGGGGCCTCCAAGGTTGATCAAAGGCTGCTCAACATGGAAAGAGGTTATACCTAGCCAAGATGTCTAGGGCTTCAAAAGTTAGAACTGGCACTTCGAATCAGGCACAGACATGGATGGGCGGCTAGAAGGACAGATGGCGGACTGTCAACTCACGACTCTCCCAGTGACTGACCATGTAGTCCTTCATATTGAAATCAACTCCTCTGCACTCAAAAGCATAAACTTGATTCAGTAAAAAGTTCAACAGGCAGATTTTGTTCAGGGCACGAACACACTGGCAATGAAAACTATCCCGTCGGCTTTTCACTTGATCTTTTGTCTGCCCTCTTTCCTGGCCACCAATACCTTAAAGATTTCATGAAATTAACACAAGCAATCCAACATACCGCCAAGCTGTCCTTGGGGTTCTTATCCGGACCTATAAATATTTTCACAGGGGGAGAAAAATAACTTTAAAGACATGAAACACGCTGAATTCTTGTGAAAACAACAAGGGAACAGATCACATAACCAGGTGTTTATCCTAGTGATTTGCTTGGTCGTAATGTTTTCAGCCCACCCAGAAATTGATAAAGTGATGTACACATATTTCAGGATGTCCTGATGGGTCTGTTGTGTGCCTGACAGTCAAAACCTCGAACAAAGTTTTAATTGCTAATGGAGGCCAACATCCCACCGGAAGACGCATTCCATGGAGGAGCTCCAGGGCTCATCAGTCTTCGTACAAAGAGCAGCTGAGAGCATTCATGTACGCATGCAGCACGGAGCCCTTCAGAATAGCTGCCCCAGCCTGGTGTCCTCCCCATGCTTAGCCCACTAGAAGGTTTGGAGTGCTTGCTATAACTAGGAACCCTGGGAAGGCCGGCGGCAACTGGGAGCAGAGCTGCTGAACCTTAGACCCATGGGCCAAATGCAGAACTCCAGGGATCCCAATTCCAGCCCTCTGAGTTTCCTGCACTGGTCACGTTCCCTCATCCTTCTGCCTTTCTTCCAACTGCCAATCATGCAGGCTTTTCCCCTTTCCAAAAGGCTCAAATCTCCCTTCTGGCTCCTAGCAGTAAGAGCTTCACTGACTGTTCCACCAACCACTTGAATTTGGTCCAAAAAAAAAAAAAAAAATCTCTGAAGCTAACTTCAGCCCTTGGGCTGAAAAACTTGCCACTCTCCCCCAACTCTAATGTGTCCATGGAGGGTTTTGAGCTCTGGAAGCCACGTCCTTTGAGGATTGCCTGAAAGAGCTGGGTGTCTTTAGCCCAGAAATGATGAACCAGTGGGATAGCATTCTTCCCATTCTTGAAGGGCTGTCTTCACAGACAGTGCGGCCAAATTGCTTTCCATGGCTCCAGAATGAGGATAGGACACACCGACTACATTCATGTTGTAAGAAAGAATTTCCACTAGCCAGGCTGCTTGACAATGGAAGAGACCACCTTGGAGGTGGTAGGTTCTCCTTCCATGGAGATACTTGAGCAGAACCTGCAAGGCTGTCAGAGACACTGTTGAGCAGGATCAGTGCACTGAGCATGACCTTCAGGGGTCTCTGGACTCTAAGATACTACGATTCAACTGGACCTGAGTTCAGAGCTCATCCCCATGAAGCTTGGACAAACCATTGTGAGGACAGAGTGGAAGTTGGTCAGGAGATCTTCAGAAACATGAATTGCTTTCATGTCCTGAGAGAAAGGACAGGTTATAACTGTTCCGAGAACCTGGGTGGACCCAAACGTGTTTTGTTGGTTCATTTCTAGTCCTGACTACCTTTTTTGCTCTCGTGATTCAGAGCACTACAACAATGGAACCTTTTATCTGGGGGAGTTGTGGGCCCTCCCACACTGGAGACACTCAAAAGAAACTGGGCAGCCATCCGAGTGGGATGGAGCAATGTGATGTCCTGCAACAGCAGGGGGATGGACTGGATGGCCTTCATGGCCCCTTCCAACTCTATGATTCTAAGTCCAACATATTCAATATAGATTGTAGGGCTCCAGTTTATTGCATTATAGTTCATATCAATTCTTCTTCCATGTTTTTCCCTTGTGTAGAAGGATGGGAACATCATATTTTCATTTACTTCAAAAATTCTTGATTTTATTGTATTATTAGCAGGGTTCGAAACTTAAAAAGAAACATTCCTGATATAGATGAATATCCTAAAACTCTAAAATGTAGTTGCCCATACTCCAGCCTAGGGATTGAATACATAGAAAACCTTGAGCCAGCGTTACCATAGATGGTTCCATTGATGCAACATTTCTTAAAGGACATGATGTTCTGTGTCAAGGTGCCAGTCTTGTCGGAGAATACAAATTCTATCTGCCCCAGCTGGTCATTAAGACTAGTACTCCGGGCTTTGGCTGGAGTATCCTTTGGCGCATAATACATTTCCAAGTCCCAGTTAATGAAACAGCTGTTCACCAGGTAGATGAACTCAAACCTAGAAGGAAAACCACAATGATAATTCAGTTAAAATCCCTTCCGGTAGTTCATACCTCTTAGCCTTGAAAATGTTCCACAATGCTCTCAGATTAAAAGGTTCTTGTGGAAATGTACTGCAGAACTAATCAAAGAAGTTGGAAGAGGCCATGAAGAACATCAAGTTCTTCTCTTCCAGTTCTGCTCTTCCAGAACAACAATTTACACCATCCCACTCAGATGGCTGTCCAGTTTCTTTGTGAATGCCTCCACTGTGAGACAGCCCAGCACCTCTCCAGACAGCTGCTTCCACGGTCGTGTTGCTCTGACAGTGAGGAAGCTTTTCCTGCTGTCCAGCCTGAATCTGGGTTCTTGCAACTTGAGCTGATTATTCCATGCCGTACATTCTGGTATCAACAAGAAGAGAGCTTGACCTTCCTCTTTGTGACAAACTTTGAGGTCCTTATAGAGGGATATCAGGTGCCCCCTCAGCCTTCTCTTCTCAAGGCTGAACATGCCCAGTTCCCTCCATCTCTCCTCACAGGGCAGCGTTTCCAAACCCTGCGTCATTTTTTGTTGCTCATCTCTAGACCCTTTCTATTTTTTTGTATCTTTTGTGGTAGAAAACAAGTTTTGGATGCTAAAAGTCCTCAGTCATGTTTTAGCCTATAAGAAAGGCTATATTCCTGATTGGGGCAGGAGGAGAATTTGGCTCAGTTCGCATTTTAAAGCAAATTCCCCTGTTCGGCACTCTCCAAACTTCTGTGCAGTTTGGAAGATATTTTTCTCATGGATTGCAGACTCTTCTGAATTTTGCAGTGTGCTTCTCTGCTCAGAAGGTTGCATACTAAAAATGTATACACTGGGGAAAGCTGCATAGAGGAACTGGTGTACAAAAGTGACTGGATGAAACATTGGATGAAAATAAATGCAAATTTGGTGCAGAATTTTTAAAAAAATGTACACTAAAACTGGATAGAACTGACACGAATGCCTAAATACAAAATGGAGAAGGAGGAGCAGAAATGCATGGATTCATCCGTCTGAGAAAGGGGACCTCATCTGGGGAGAGTCTGTCCAAACGTGGAGCACTTCCACAGCCCCCCTGCCCATTTCTTCGGATGTTTCCCCAGGAAAATAAGAGGTTGGAACATACGTGATTAGCATGGACATTGGAATCACAAGGCTGAGGAGGATGAGGAATCCCCAGAACGCGAAGAAGGCATACTTGATGGCGCTGTTCTGGTCGTAGAACGCAAACAGGTAGCTATGCTCCTGGTAAAACTTGTTGGCCCAAACTCCCGAGCCAACAGCAAGGCCAAGGGAGGCCAAAACGAGGGCCACTGTGATCTGAGGAGAGAAATACAGAAGGCCCGGGCCTTAATTTGTGGCGCTCAGCTTGGGAAAAAGCCACCTCCAGTCCCAGCATCTCCAGGAAGGGAGAAGGCCAGTGAAGTCACTCAGAAGTCCACTCATGCAAACATCATTAGAGATATGAGGAGTCATTTGATTATGTATTTATGATTAGATACACATCCCTATTTTATTTATTTATTTATTTATTAAAACATTTATATGCCGCCCCATTCGCCGAATCTTCTAAGGAACTCAAAGCAGCTGACATTGAGACTCCTGCTCTCAATCTTATCCCCACAGCAAGAGCCCGGAGAGTTTGTGACCAGCCCAAAGTCTCCCAATGGGCTCCATGGCTGAGCAGGGACTCAAGACTCAGGTCACCTCAAACACATTTGCTGAGCACGTGGGAGTCAGGAATCTTTGAGGGTGAACTTCAAAACATCCAGGGAGCCCCCAGGAAAACTGCAGATCTACCTTCTGCCCATGCCTGACTCTTGTTTGATCCCACAACAAATGCTTCCTCAAAGTCCAAAATCCCATCTCTGCAATCTCCATTTGCAGGTTTTGGGGTAAAGGGCCTTAGCAACGTATGCAAATAGAGATCCGGCTTGTTTTTGAACAGAATTAACTCACTTTGATGATCCAAAAATGATCTGCAGTCAAAGTGCATAATTTTCCAATCCAAACAAATACATTCGGAAATTATTCATGTTTTAAAAGCGTCTATGGGAAAAATAGTATCTTTTGATATGGACTTTAATGAAGAGAAATGTTACAAAAATGAGCAGGGTTCACAGATCCATATGGAAGCATAAGCATTAAAATACTTGTGGTTTTTGTTTTGTTCTATTTTGTTCTGTTTTGTTTTGGTGCAAGCTTGTAAGTCAAACCAAACAAGTCAAAACAAACTTCTGAGCAAATTTATGAGAACTTCCATAAGTTTTAAATGTGTTGATTCACATGCCACCAGATGAGCTACAGCTCGGCAAGGCTCTATTCGTAAAATCTTTTCAGACCCAAAACTGGCTTTTCACATTTTCTTTTAAAACAGGCCAGGGGAAAAATAAATTAATACAACCTCCAAGCTGTCAGTGAGGTATAATGAAGAGGGAGGTTCTCTGCCATGAAGTGAATGTATCTTTCCATGTGGCTTTCTAGCCCATTGCTATTTCCTCCCATCAAATGTGTGGATTAAATCACAGCTGTCACATCTCAGCCGTCAAATGTACATTTGTGAGTTTTAAGTACTGAACCGCAAAATCGTTACTTAGAATTCAAATACAAAGGGTGGTGCAGGGCAACACTTTCATTCGCAATCAACCAGCTTTCTCGCTTTGAAAAACAAAAATAAATACATAAAAGGATTCTGAGAAATAATATTTAAAACTCAGAAAGGGTAAGGACTATGCTGGGGATTGAGAGAAATGGCTGGGGCTCAGAACCCCCCATTGCTTATTCACCCAGTCTGCAAATAAACCTCAGTAAGATTTTACCAGGATTACAAGACGGTCCATAAGGCAGTTGAGTTTGGTTTTCTTCAGCTTGATCTTGCCACAGTTTTTCATGATTTTGGAATCAAAGCCTGTAGCAAAGACATTTGAGAAGCCTAAATGGAAAAGAAACCAATTGGGGGCCCTCTCCAAGTTATAACTTCACCATAAGCCAATTAAACACACACATACGTTACGTGGCACCTGGTACAGCCACACCCATGGGACAAACTAACCAGAACCAATGGAGAGGGATGAGGGGAACTGTAGTCCTAAAGGCCAATTGACTTCCCCAGATCCATTCTGGGGACCAGCCATTTGCTGGCAAGAGTTAAGGGTTAGGGGATAGTGCAACAGAAACTGGTGTTAAGAAGACTGCTTCCTTTCTCTGAAGGTTTGAATTGGGTGCTCACAGGCGAGAGAGAAGCGCAGAGAGAGGGGGAAGGCGCTCCTGCAGTGGAAGTATCAAAAAGAGACTGAACAGTGTCTGCCGGGGATTCTGTGGTGGAATCCTGCGATTCACAACAAGGACTTGAGCTCCGTGCTCCTGCTTGGAAAAAACCCAGCTTTGCACAGTTGGATCGGTCCTCAATTAGATACAAGAATGTCTTGCGGCAAACCTTGGTGGCTATTCAAGTTGGACACACTGTACCTCTCCACAGCAGCACCCCCAGGCATAGCCCCTGCCCTGAAACACACTAGCACGGGGGAGTGCCCCATTGCAGGGGATGGGGGCAGGTCTGGAAGGCAGTCTCTGGGACTGCCAACAGCCTCAGTGCTCTGGGATGCCGCTCCTACCAGGGGCTGAGGGGCTGCACAAGGACCCATTCAAATAAACTAAAACAAGTACACTTTACAAACAAAATACCCCCGAGCTGTGCTAACCTAAAACTCCCTTCGTATGCATGCCAAGTTTCAGGTGGCTAGGTAGCACGGTCTTGAGCGGAGCCGGCTGGAGCCGGGGGTCAGACTAGAAGACCCGGGAGACCCCTTCTGACTCGCTCTGTTTCTCTGCTTCTATTTGACTTGGCATTGTGCTGCTGAGACATAGACAGTCACACACAGTTTTGTCATTAAAGATGGCGCGCCAGCCCGGCCGGACTTTCTCACCTGCATAAATAACAAGGCCGTAGCACACTTCTGTATTGCGTATTCTGCAGCCGCGCAACAATAGCTTCTCGTTGTCGAGAGAGTACATCTCCCCGTGCCACTCCAAAGTGCCAACAAAGCTGTGCATCCGGCTGTTTGGCTCATCGCACATCACCTTCCCTGTGCAGCCAGAAAAGGGGGTGAGAATTTGACTCGCCTGCTCATCTCCTTCCCTGGGCATCTGTAAATGAGCTGCACTGCTTCTCATGGCTGGCACATCCTCCAAACCTGTGGCCACGGTGGGGCTGACAAGCCAGCTCACACCTACGGGAACATTGTTTTCTATTCTGCTTTCTCCCTATAGCATATCTAAAACGGAACAGAAATGGTGAAGAAAGAGACAAACAAAGCAACTCCATTGCAGCAGAAAAAGCTATCTAAAAACGTTGAAGGACACAGACCAGAACACAAACAGAAATCCCCTGTCATGCATGGAAAGAAGCAAAAGAGAAGTGCTCTCATGAACACTCACCGTCAAAGGCGGCCATGCTTTTCCCACTGGCCAGAAGCTCGTGTGTCACCAGTGGGGCTTGTCTGTATTTCAGATTCGTCTCTCTGAAAGTGTCAGAGAAGAGGCAGCTTAGTGGTGGAAAAACACAACTGGATGGGGAACTTTGGACTTCTCCACTTCGTTGTTTCTTCAGTAAGTTCTGCATGGCTCCCCATTTCTCCTCCATTGCAGCTAAACTAGAATTTCTTCCTAGACTTACATAATCTTCTTCCTCTCCAACAACAACCCTGTGAGGCAGTCTAGGCTGAGAGGGAGCAATTGGCCCCAAGTCACCCAGAGAACTTCTGTGGGGATTAGAGCTCCGATCTCTCAGGTACCCAGCCTGCACACAATTTGGAATTCCATTTTGGAACAGTGCTCCGGGGTGACATTCCTGTGCTGGGGAGTGGCTGAAGACCAAAGTGGCCATTCCCAAAGACCAGTAAGCAAACTTCAGGAGAAACGTTTCAGCTTTTTCACATGGGCCAAAAAAGGACACCTGTTGAAGAAGCAGTGATGGGGACAAGGGGGGCTGGCTGTCTTGAGACCCCCGGAGGGCAGGATTGGTGCCCTAGGCATGAGTTTCTGCACCCCTGTTCCAAAATGCCATGTTCAATAACTATTCCATTTAGACGTGGAAGTGTCCAGTCATCACTGGAGCTTAACAGTAGAGCTAGGCTCAGGTGATCTTGGTTCTAGTCCCTGCTTGCCCATGGAGCCCACTGGGTGAGTCCAGACTCTCAGACCAACCTATCTCACAGGGCTGTTGTTGTGGGGATAAGATTGTGAGCAGGAGGAGGGGAAGGATGAAAACCACCATGAGGTCTTGCAAGAAGAAAAGTGAGCTAGAAATCTAATAAATACATAATCTTCTCAAGGGCAGCTTCACCCCCTGGAACCTCCACCAAATCTTCCAAGCCGGTTTGCTCTGGCTTGGATTTATCCTGCCCAGTTCAGGAAGGAATGAAAACAGGAAGGGCAAAGACAGACGCAGAAAGAATAACATTACCCATCAATGTCCATTGTTTCTACATAGCAGAGGCTGTTTGGCTCCGAACTGGACAGGAGAAGAAGGTCAGCCTTGAAAAACCAAGAGGGGAACACCTAAGAGACCTTTCCTGGCATGGTCAACGCCATCATAAGTGGCTGGTTGGCTCAAGCAGTGTCAGTTCAAGCAAATGTTCAGGGTCAGGTCTCTAGCTAGGTAGAGTATCACGTGGGATCTGCGGGTGACTCCTTAAAAGTATGATTTGTTTGTTTGTTTATTTATTTAGAATATTTGTTTGCCGTCCCATCACTTATAGCCTCAGGACGGCTCACATAAAATAAATAAACATAATACATAGTAAAATAGTACAATTAAAAACCCAGAATCACCCTGGCTGCACAATTAAAACCTATAGATATTATCAAGAGTTGTTAAAATATTGTTGAAATAAAAAGGTCTTAGCCTGGCTCTGAAAAGCAAATAATGACGGTGCCAGGCGGACCTCTCTGGGGAGCGCATTCCACAGGTGGGGTGCCACCGTAGAGAAGGCCCTCCTCCGGATACTTTGCCTCCTGATGTCTTTCACGGAGGGTTCCCGGAGGAGGGCCTCTGCTGCCGATCTCAGGGGGCGGGAGGGCAAATACGGAAGAAGGCGTTCCTTTCGGTATCCAGGTCCCAAGCTGTTAAGGGCTTTGTAGGTGATTACCAGTACCTTGAATTGTTCCATGTCGATTTGGTAGAGGAAAAAACCTCACTGGACACAAGAACTTTCATTGAGTCAATATAGAACTGGGGAAGCTGCCTGGACACCCCATCAGACAATTGAACAAGGCACAGGTGTGGAAGCCATCACATCACCCCCAAATGTGAGTTTTACAGTATTTTCTTTCCAACTGTTGCTTAAATTCTTTTTCTATGGTTGTTGGAATAATCTAGCCAAAAAGAAGAACTCATTGAAAGGAAATCTGGTTCTTCTTTCCATATACCAGCTGTCCTTTCATACTTGGGACATAGCCTAGAAGGGGGAATATGTCTAGCCTTGATTCCATGAGAACTGGACTCGGACTTAAGTGGGAGGTAAGGCAAAAAAATGTTTACCGGCACAAAGCTGTCCTTGCGGAGACAAACAATATCACCCACGCATATGTCGCGCCATTGCTTCTGCTTGAAGCTTGGAGGATAAGAAAATAATGATAGTTCAAGGAAACAGTCATATTGGTGGATGGGAAAAGGTTATGTGACTGCCCCCCTCCAGATAGTTGTGATAATCACACACGCATATGCCAGGAAGGAGCATGGGAATGTTCCCCCGATGCACACATGTGCTGAGTTGAAGATGGCATCTGCCCTCGTGTGTTTCTGCAGTCCATTTCTCCCTCTACAAATTTAAGTGTTGCTTCAGCTTCAGGGAAAACTCAATCTGAACTGATGTTGCTCGGAAGACATTTTCTAAAGAAATTTTCCTAGGTTCCTCTTCCACACTTCTCCCCCGAGAAAAAAGGCCGTTTTAGAGAGTTTCTTCAAATTGTTCTTTACCATTGGTTTAGGATACCCTCTTTTCTCCCCTCATGCCGTTCATAATTGAAATAGCCATGGCAAAAGGAAGCTGAGAATTGTGGTCTTTTTCCTGTGTAAACTTGCACAGATGAAAAAACTCTGCATCCTTGCCCCTGAGAAACTAATCCACAGTTTTTCTTATGTATGGAGAAATTCAGTGAAACCACCTCCCGAATCGCACACGTTTCTCAGGGGTGCTGAATTCCGAGAGATCACTTGTGCATGACTCTAGGAAATCCACACAGAAGATGTACCAAATCTTTGCAAGTGAATTTCTCCAGCATGAAAGCCAAATTTTCATGGGGACAAACATAACCCCAACACTCCTCCCTTCCCACACTTCCCAGTTATCAGAGATTCTTCACAGCCCTGGTCAGCAACTATTTCAATGCTTTCCTCCCAGTTCAGACTTGCCTCCATTGCATGATCCACAACCCAATATGACAATAGTCATGTCACAAACCTAAAGGACCAACGTATTTGCCCTCATCCTGAATTGACTTTGTGACTGCATCATGTGCAGTCAATCAGGATTGGCCTGGGGAATGCCATCATAAAGCCAGTTCAGAACACAAACATGCCCTTCATGTGAATGTTTTCTGGGAAAAGAATGTGAAGGGAGCTAATTCTTCTGCGGGGAGATGAACACATATTTGAAAGCACCTTATACTATGCATACTAAAAAGCAGAGACATCACCTGCCGACAAAAGTGCGCATAGTCAAGGCTATGGTTTTCCCAGTTGCAATGCATGGCTGTGAAAGCTGGACCATAAGGAAGGCTGAGCGCCGAAGGATTGAGGCCTTTGGATTGTGGTGCTGGAGGAGACTCCTGCGAGTCCCTTGGACTGCAAGGTGATCAAACTGGTCATTCCTAGAGGAGATCAACCCTGACTGCTCTTCAGAAGGCCAGATCCTGAAGATGAAACGCCAAGACATTGGCCACCTAATGAGAAGGAAGGACTCCCTGGAGAAGACCCTCATGTTGCAATGATTGAAGGGGAAGAAGGGGACGGCAGAGGACGAGGTGGCTGGATGGAGTCACTGAAGCAGTCGACGTGAGCTTAGGTGGACTCCGGGGGATGGTGGAGGACAGGAGGGCCTGGAGGAATGTTGTCCATGGGTCTGTGATGGGTCAGACATGACTTTCCGACTAACAACTACAATGTATGGCTGTGAGAGCTGGACCTTAAGGAAGGCTGAGTGCTGAAGAATCGAGGCCTTTGGATTGTGGTGCTGGAGGAGACACCTGCGAGTCCCTTGGACCGCAAGGCGATCAAACCGGTCAGTCCTAGAGGAGATCAACCCTGACTACTCTTTAGAAGGACAGATCCTGAAGATGAAGCTCAAATGCTTTGGCCACCTAATGAGAAGAAGGACTCCCTGGAGAAGACCCTGATGCTGGGAAGGATTGAAGGCCAAAGAAGGAGGGGGCGGCAGAGGATGAGGTGGCTGGATGGGGTCACTGGAGCAGCTGGTGTGAGCTTAAGTGGGCTCCGGGGGATGGTGGGGGACAGGAAGGCCTGGAGGAGTGTTGTCCATGGACTTGCGATGGGTCGGACACGACTTTGCGACTAACAACAACAATAAGCACATGCTTTGCACCATGTTTTCCTTACCTCCCTCCCATCAAAATCTCACAGGGCCGACTGTTGATTTCCCAGTCGCTCTGGTGCCGTGCCTGAGAAATGAAGAAAGGCAGGTGGGTTAAACCTGGGAAATTTCACTCCCCCTGCCTGGCCTTGCTCTCACAATACAATACTGGACGTTGTCACTTCAGCTGTAACCACCTAAAGCAATCTCCATGTAGGCTATCATTCTTGCTTTATGCAGGAATTCCTTGCATAGGTATTCCAAGGAACCGACGGCTCAAACGAGGAAGGGCTCAGCTGTGCCAAAGGTGTCCACCCAAGGAGGCGGCTGCTCACTGCACCTTATCCCCCAGCTCCGCCCTCTCTCCCCAGGTGTGGTGGGACCAACCAGGCATTCTGGAACTGGGAATTCCAAAGCAAAGGGTGAGAGTGGGACGCAGTGGGGATTCGCAGCTGCGGCTAGATTCCCGCAGGATGGGGCCGTGCAGTTGCAGCGAACACCTCAGCAGGAAAACCTGGCTGCGCTTCCTTCCTCTAGCTTCCAGCAGACTGGATGCTCACAACATGCCGAGCCACAGTGCTGTGGGTTGCTGTAGAGTTTGCTCAGCCCTGCGTGGCTTGCGGTGGCACCCAGACCTGGACACTAGAAGGAGGAAGCCATGGTTATGCGAAGCTCTGCACATCTGCTGGGCCAGAATGGCTGAAAGACGGGCTAATGCGTAACCACCATTATCAGTGGCCGCAGAAGTGTCATGGAAGCCTGAACTGTGCTGGGGCATTCTCAGCCTGACTGATGGGTTCTTACAGCACGGCAAGCCCCTCTGAAACAACCATGGCTCACGGCTCACCATGGCTGGACGACAAACACAATGTGCTGAGTTCCAACAGCATGACCTGCCGAATTTTGCCAGCAAGAGCCTAATGCCTGAGCTTTGCTGAAGCATGGCAAGCAGTCCTCTGATCTTGAAGGAGGCTGCTTTTTCAGTCTCCCCGGGTGTGGCTGCAGCTTCAGGTTTGCCTCCTTCCAGTAGGATGATGATGGGCTATTCCAGGGTGGGCACTGGAGTGGAGGAAGCGTTGCCTTGATGCCCCCAGCCTGAGTCTTGCACAGCTGGGGAAGGAATGCTGATTTGCGGTGACTTGGCCCAGGTCGTGCGCTGCTTCCGATCCAAGGGGAGGGGATTGGCAAGACGCATTTCTCCTGGCTCTCTCTCACGCAGCATTCCTGCTGGCTAGTTTGAACGCAGAGTCTCCAGATATTTACTGCTGTTATTTTTTATTTCATTTCTCCCTCACCTCACAGCCAAAGTTCTCTGTGAGGCTTCAAAGCCGCCTGGGCTGAGATAGCTCACACCTATCCAGGTTATAGAGTAAGATCATTCAGACGGTGTTGGAGAACCAACACTTCTTGGGAGAAGAAGGGGATACTGCAGAACAGGAAGGGGCTGGAAACGGGGATTCTTGGACTCTGTAAAAAGATATCAGACTAAACACTGAAGAACCTTGAGACATTCCCACCATATGGCCCTCCAGAAGTAGGATCCTCATCCAGGGTTCAGTCAAGACCTTTCTGAAAAGCAGGAAGTAGAACTATGTTCTTGTCTGGATTCAATTCTGCACATGGGCAGAAGCTACTCCCACTTATCACAGGGAATCATATGCTGCTGCTAATCCCTCTTTCAGCATGTGGATCCAACCAATCAGTGATCACAGAGCAAAGCACAGGAAAGCCAATGACTGAGGTCAGGAGACACAGCAAGCCATGGTGGCTTTTTACCACCATGGTAAAAAGCCATGGTTCACCGTGGTAAGTTGGATTTCAGAAGCCACACCGAGAAACAATGTTTGTTCTACGGTTGCTTTGTACCAGCATGGCTTGTCCTGCTGTCTGTACTGTGCCACTATCATAGAGTCCTCTGGAAAGAGCGGCTCCAGAAATCCAGCATGGGACTGAATTTCAGGTGAGTGGCCAGGTGGGATTGCAGGACAATAGCAGGAGGACTGAGCAAGAAAGAAGGTGGACACCATGCGAGTGTAACCACACCTAATCACCTATCCAGCACATTGATGACACCATGGAAACCGTGAACCGTGCTTGTTGTGACGGATGAACTCAGCCAACGACTTTTTCTGTGCAATATTGTAGCTTTTCCCCCTCTCCTTCTAAGGTGAACCAGATGGACACCTTTGATGAAAAACTGCCCTCCTCTTCTGCCAGGGGACACAGCGCTTCACCAATAGGTCAGGGAGCATGAGCGCCAAAAGCAAGAGCATACTCACAACATCGTCTATCAGGTCCCGAATCCCTCGAATCCCAAGCAGGAGCACGAGCGGAAACAGGAGGGCAAACCAAGGAAGGGTGGATATCGGAGGGATGGTCTGGAACGGGAGGCAAAGCGGAAAGAAGGGCTTGTCAGACATCTCTCACGGTGAGCGCTGGGCTTACGCGGGCACTTCTCACACATGTTTTCATGTACATACTTCAACACCGGCAGTTTTCCAGGGCTGCCTCGAAAGAAGAGCTCAATATTTGTCCATGTAGAGCAGGGCATTGTCACTTGTGTACCCTGCCTTTCCCCCGAGAAGCCCAAAGCACCATCTGTGAGCCTCGTCCCTTCTGCTTCTCACACAACAACCCTGCAAGGTAGGGTTGGCTATGATTCTGGGACTGTCGCCCGGGCACCTTTTACAAGAAGTGACTGAAGATGCAATCAAGACAGTAGAAAAAGAGGCAACAGTTACCCACAAATGTTCACAACCACATGCTTGGAATATTTACAATGCAGAGCGTCGTGCATCTGTTTTAACACTCGGTTCCTCTAATTCGGATGGTTTAAGCCAGGTGTCGGCAACCTGCGGCTCCGGAGCCACACGTGGCTCTTGAACCCCTCCGCTGTGGCTCCGTCGCTCAAAACATGCGTGGTCACAGCCGCCGATCTGCTCAGAGCTCCATGCAGTGCTAGCTAGTTAAGTCAATAGCAGCTAGTTAAGTGAATCGCTACCTTCCTCTGCTAAACAAGTTCCCTGCAGGCTCTAATGTTACACAAAATGCTGCTGAAAGGATCCTCTTTGTCCCAATGTAATCTCTTTCCTCTGAATGTCAAAAGCTGCGCTTGGGACCTGTCACAATTCACAGCACTTGACTGTTCATCTGCTAATCAGTCACTAAACACACCTATATCTGTGACCTCCCCCAGTAGGCCAACCATGGATAAATCGAAGAAAAGTTTCTGAAGAAAACCAAATGTTTAATGGTACGTGGGGAGATCCATTTGCTTTTACTGCTGACAAACTTATCGGGTTTGCTGTTTAATGCATGCAGCCCTTTAGCACTGACTTTGACTCTGCAGGAAGCTGTTCTATTCAAAATATATGAAAGGAGTCCCACTAGTTTATAAGGAAAGATGAAAAATAACAGTTTTTAGTGACTGAACAAGAGCTGCAGCTAAATCCTAATGAAGATATACATAGCAATAAGGTAAAAAACGATATATGCAGTGTGATCTTCATTTTGGATGTCAAAAGGGTTTTGCGGCTCCCGGTGTTTGGGTCCAAATGGCTCTGCGAGTGTTAAAGGTTGCCGACCCCTGGGCTAGGCCATGCATGCTCGGCAAAATGCCCCTCTGCAGAGCAACTTGTCCTGCTGGGGTACTTCCTGACCCCAAATGTCTGGCTAGAGACGTAATGCTCTTACCTGCAGCAAAATTATGATGAGGAAGTACAGGTTAGACATCTGGTGAAACTGCTCATACAGGTTGAGTGGGAGAAAAGTCAGAATACTGTATTTGGCTGTCTTGATGGTGTTTCCCTGGGGGAAGATGGTGGCAACGTTAGAAGCTGGGTAGTGTGTTGGATACAACACCTGCAGATCTCTTGTGATGTTAGATTGTTGGTCAGTTTAGCTCACTTCAGATGAACGGAAAATTCTGATATAGACCAGAGAATAAAGAGCTGGAAGGGCCCAGTAGGACCACTGGGTCCAACCCCTGCCCACTGGAGTCCTTGCAGTGCAAGCATCTCTAGTCAACAGCTGTCCGGCTGCATCCTGAAGGCCTTCAAGGTGGGAGAGCCCGCCACTTCCCCAGGTCTTTGGTTCCATTGCCATACTGCTGTAACAGGCAGGAAATTTTCAGACTCTGGCTTCCTGCAACTTGAGCCTACTGTTCGATGCCTGCACTCTGGGATACATTGCTAAGACAATGTCATCAAAAAAGAAGCCACCATGCATAATTAATACCCTCCAGACCCTTCCTAGCAGGAGCCTACCACATACCTCACTACACACTCACAGTAAACTTAGATGTAGAGTATTATGGGGGAAGCAAAATTGGCCAGTCCAACAAAAAGTTGTTGCAGGTGTTGCTAACCACAGGGAGAGCAAAAGCGACCCTTGCCAGCTTTAGAGTAGAAGAAAGGAACAGTGCAAATCCATGGTGAAACTCACCCTGGAGAAACGGTTGGAGAATTTCTCCTCACCCCTGAGAAATTTAGGAAAAGATCCCCAGTGAAAAAGAACTGTTGGGTTTGGCCATGCATCCCATTGGAGCTGCCCAGTGGCCAAGTGGGACATGCACCACCTCCAGCCTGAGGAGAGAGAGAGCTAGTCAAGCCCATTCACCTCCCGCAAACTTGTGAACTTTCTTGCAGGGAGGCCGAACTCACTGTGCACAATGCCCCCTTGGAAGCTTCCACCCTGTTAATGGACAAAGGAATCAAGGACTATTTGATGCTGTACGAGGCGAGACTGAGGGAACTGGGTCTCTTCAGCCTGGAAAAGAGGAGACTCAGAGGGGATCTGTTGGTGACATGCAGGTATGTGAGGGGGTGTCACATGGAGGTGGGCAGGGACCTGTTCTCCCCTGCAGAGGAAGGCAGGACGCGCTCCAACAGAGCAAAGCTCAGGGAACCCAGGTTCCATTTGGATGCTTCCTGACAGTCAGGACCCCGAGGGTGTGCAATGGGCTTCCACGGGAGATTGTTGAGGTCCCATCGGTGCGGGTGTTCAAGGACAGGCTGGACATGCACATGGTGGGCATGTCGTGAGCAGATCTGGCTGGAGCCAGGATCAGACTAGATGGCCCGGGAGACCCCTTCTGACTCGCTCTGTTTCTATGTTTCTCCACCATATCATTTCCTCCATCTCTTTACCTGCCATTGCAGCATCCCTCCTAGAGTTTATTTTTTCCAGTTTTTCTCTGACTAGGCTAAACTGCAGGTTTCATGTGTTTGGTAGCGTCAAACTCTTCCTTTCTCCCTCTCCTTCTCTCTCCTCACAGTTTCCTCTTGTTCTGGCTAGGATGCCCTTGTGATTCCAAGTTGCTGCAGTGTGTCCTTCAGAACCGATCTTGCATTTACTTCCTAAAAAACCTTTCAAGTTGTACTTACAGCCCTTCTCCATGTAGCCTCAAGCTAGAATGATCCGTGCCCCTCCTTGGATGCACAACCTACAGGCCAGGGGATCTTTTTGCTCAGTTTCTCTGGGGTGAAGGTCACCATCATTTGGAGAAATGACACAACGAAGAAAGTTTCAGCTACTGGCAGTATGGAAATCAATTAATTAAGAGAGGGTTCGAAAATTTTGACAATTTTTGCTGGCCCTCTATGAAGTCTCACCGCGTATTTCTTCCTCTTCAAACACCACGCATAATTCTTCTGAAACTGATCGTGGTAAGCACGGTCATTGGCTTTCACCACCCAAGTGAAATCTGCTGTGGGAAGATATGAAAATTATCAATGGCAACATAGAGAGGGGTGATTAGGGGGCGTGTGGGGAGAAGATTTGAAGAACCATAAAAATATCAGCCACCAGAAGGAAATTCTGCTCGAACCTCTAAATGTATGTGATAAACAGGTTGGGATTCCTTTTATTTATTCTTAATATTTCAGAGGAATATTAAGGGGAAAAAATGTCTCAAGGCTTATAAAGAAAGGCTTTCCAGATTCTCTCCCACTCAGACACAAACAGTTGAAGAATAGATCAAAGTTTGGAGACCAACCTAAATGGCTGGTGATTGGGATGGGAAAGGAGGAGACATCTTTTAGTGTCCTATGGGAGGGCTCATGGGGGATAAAGGGAGGTTAACAACAGACCAATCATCTCTTGGGTGCCCCGTTCACCCTGTTCAGGGGACACCCAACCCCACATGGGTCTTGTGGTGTTTGGCTTACCTTTCTGTATTTTGCTCTCATTTCTGTAGCTCCCAGGAGTGTCCTGGCTTGCCATTTTGGAATCTAGAAAGCAAAAAGACCCAGTGCCATCATATACCTAGGTTGGCCGTGTGTCCTGCCATATCAAGGACAGTCCTCTCCTTGAAAGGTTGCCTGGTCCTGCATCAGATTGAGGAACCATAAGATGCTGGGAGAGAAGCTGATCATTAAGAGAAGAAATGAAACAAGAAACTGTCGTTTATCTAATTGCAGGATTTTGCATTATGCTGAGAGATATTATCTGTCTATGCAGGAGCATTTGCCAAAAAAGGGAGCCTTTGTTGCTTCCAGGGAAAGTTCTGGCTTGATTTGATCTGGAACCAACTTGTTTGTCTTTCTCTTGATCTAGGCTATTCACACACTGGTACCTTCCAGATAGTATGGATCGTGTCTCCCATCAGCCCCAGCCAGCAGGGCAATTGGTCTAGAATTGGTATTAGGACCGACGGCCCCAAATATTTGAAGGACGCTAGGACGGGAAAGGCGGCTCTAATGCAACACTCTGTTTAATGCAAGGAATCCAGAGGTTGAACACAGAAAGAGAATCTATTCATTAGCAGAGGAATTTTTAGATAAGCAGTTCATTCCTGGGAAGAAGGGCATCATTGCACCATTACCAAGAACCCAACTAGATGTGACATTCATTAGGTCATTTCACTAGCTTGCTTGAATTCCACTCATTGCAAATCATTGTGGGTTGGGACCCTGGTGGAAGACACAACCAGGCCAAAGCCCGAATCCAGGTCAGTTCCTGCTCCAGGTCTTGAGGGTCTGGACCTACATTCTGGGCCCTCTTCCTTTCCCACTCCTGGTGCCAGTCGCTTCTTTTGCTCCGCGGCCTCTTCATCGTGGCTTGTTCTCACTCAACAAAAAGAGAGCAAGTCTTCTTGCCCATACCCTGGTCCAGGCCAGGGAGAGCGGACAGTCAAACAAGCCAAGGACAATGAAGGACAGAGTAGCCAGTTCTCCGGACTTTTGTTGCAGCTAGAACATAGACCCTTGGTAAGTGCCCATTCAAGCCAAATTTTGCTCACATGCTTGTGCTAACTGGGCTTCTGTGCTTCCCACCGGGGCTCAGTATATGAATGCCATGAGCACCACGCTGAGAACACCTGATCTTCCTTGTGAGTGGGGAGAGAGGGCAATTATCTGAGAAATGAAGCAGTTATTTTTATAACACGCACCTCCTGGTTGGCCTGCTGCCCTGGAGCTTTTCTTTCAAAGCAACCAAACCTGTCTCTCTTTTTTTGGAAGGATGGAATGGTTACCTAACAGCAACCAGGACACCGAAAAAGCATATTGTTTCCTTGTCTTAACATTGTGCTATTCACATTTCTTTGGTTCTCTCCATCCCTTGGTAACAATTGTTGGCTGTATGCAAAAAAATGGCATCGAACTGAACGCCGTGGCGGGAAATGTTTGCGTTCCTGTAGCCATGTGGACATTCAGATTGCTACTCCCTTGCTGGGTATTTTGGGCATCGGGCGGGATGAAGTAGAGAGGAACCTCCAGCATGCAGCTTGGCCCCATCTTAGGATTTCTCGAAACAGAGACCTTTACATAGGTAATATAGGAGGTTTCCCTGGCAACTCCATATCAAGAAGTGCTCCTGCTGATTTTAAATAGGAAAAACACTCTTTTTACAAATCAAAGCCTAGTAATGGGTGCTGGAGGGTGGGAGGGGCTGTTTAATAATCATTCCATTGCTTTTAATTTCATAAGCAGCCTTGGATGTCTGCAGACAGAAAGGAAGGGTGAAAATTATAAACCATCTAAAAAAGCAGAATGCTCCTGTATGGTGCTATTTTAAGCAAGAGCAACAACATTAACAATTATACAGCACTGTATAAATGTCAGGACTACTTTGTAAACAGCTTTGGCTGTTGGGTAGTATAGGAGTCAAATAGATATTATTTATTTGGGTGGCAGGGGAAGGAAAACTTTTCAAAGGCATTCATATTCTTGAAAAATGCTTGTTTTTGAAGCTGAGTTCAGCCTTCTTAAAGCAAACACTAGTCCCAGTTCCCACAGCCTGGCCCATACACTGACTTCTGCCAAGGGCGTCATGAAATTTGTCTCTTCAAGCCACTGGACAGACATCAAACTGGAGGAAAGCCAGCCCATCCATCTTCATAGCCTATCAGAATATTTCAGGTCCCTTTTCATGTTTTTCAAAGCAATCTTTTTATATAAAGACCCTGCATAATCACCAAAACATTATTTTCTTCTGGTATTTGGACACAGGACAGATTCCAAATTCACATGCTCTGGTTCAACATCTGGTGATATAGTCCTGAGTTTTTTTATCCTTATTACTTACATTTTGCTTTGGAACACCCACCCAACATCCTGTGCATAAAGTTAAAAAACCAAAGGACCAGCATCTGCCTTTCTCTGGAAAAAAATGGGGTTTGATGACAGATGGTCCCTCTGCCCCATTTTAAGGGTTCCCCTTCCTCTCTCCACTTGCCATTCTTAACCTTGTAGCTTAAACAAGGAAAGGGGCAGAGGGAGAATAAGTCATACTTGATACAGCTTAAATCTGAGCCCAAGCCAGAAATGATATCAAGAAAGTAACAATCAACAAATAATCCCAGTTTTTTGCTTTGTTTGAGCATGGAGGTCTTCTTGTTTGTGGCTCTTCTCTATTCCCTGCACTTCTACAAGACACTCTGAGTGAGAAACGCTTGCGCATAAACTTTGGAAAAGTTTGCAGGGTTCAGCTTTGCCTGGTCTTGAGGCATCCTGTATGACTTTGTAAAGTCTTTGGACATGGTGTGTGCATTTCCCACTCAGAAGTTCCCTCCTGGCTTTCCTGTGGAACACCTCATTCCAGCAGCCAATGGGATTTTAAATATCTGGGACTCATCACTGCAGCCTGTTCCATGCAAACACAACTGGAGTTCACAAGCTACCAAAACCCATGGATTGCTTTGAAGTTGCAACTGACTTCCATACCAACCCATGCTCCTACCCTGGTTTATTTATTTTATTTATTTAAAACATTTCTATGCCACCCCCATCGCAACACAGCCTCGGGGCGGCTCACGACATAATTAAAACATATAAATAACAAATTAATACAATTAAAAATTTAAAAACCCAGTAACATCTCGGCTTAAAAATTTAAAACCTATAAATACATAATAAGTTAACAATTAAAATAAGTTTTAAATAAAAAGGTCTTTGCCTGGCGCCGAAAAACAAATTATGACAGTGCCAGGCAGACCTCTCTGGTTGGCTCACAGGCATCAAGAAGGGATGGTGTTCCTCCAGCAGGCCCCAAACATTTAAACTAGTGGTGGATGCAGCAATAAGATACCCCACAGGAAACCCCATTCATTACATAGGAGCCAGTGTGAAGCTGCAACGCACGGCACAAAGACACTACAAAGTTACACATCCCACTTTCTCTATTGCTTGCTCAGGTATCTTTGGAATGGCAGCTATCCAGCTGCAAAACAATCCAGTTTTTCTCATCTAACTTTCAGGGAAAGAACAAGGACCATCCCAGGGGAAGATGGGCTATTATGGAGACAGTGAATTATTCTCGTTATGCGACATCCAGGTATTTCCCATTTATGGCAACCCCTGCAAGGGAAAGTCTTCCAAACTGGTCATGGATTTATATGCTGCCCATGAAAAAGCCACTGAAGTGCTGTACACACGCACATGGTGGGCATGTCATGAGCAGAGCTGGCTGGAGCCAGGGGTCAGACTAGATGGCCCATGAACCCCTTCTGACACACTCGGTTTCCTTGTTTCCATGTCATTTGAAACAAGAAAACTGTATAACAATAAGCCTAAGAATATTAAAAATGCTTTTAAAACATCCCATGGATATGGGGGAGCAGCTTGGCAGCAGGGCAGACCCTTTGGTGGCATGGAAATGCTTTTTAAATGGAGCATTGGCCCCTCTTTAGTGACACTGCACCTGTCAGAGGTGACTGGGGGCAGGGATTCCCACAGGTGAGAACATCCTGTGCAAAGGTCGGGTGGATCAAAGGTCCAACGGGGGGAGCACACGGCGTCCCAGCGTGGCCACCTGGCACTGCGTAGGAATCCCACGAGCAAAGGTAGACTCGGCCCTTTCTCCTTCCCAGCCACTTCTCAGAGGTTTCCAGCGGCTTCCAGGCTGGTCTGCTGAACCAGTGGTGGCGCAGGGAGAATGGACCTACCCTGTTGAATAGCTGCGGACCGACCCCGTCTTCTGAAGCCCTGGTGCGCTGGAGTCCCTGGCCTGGAATGTGTTGGCTCGGATAACCACATCCCCCAAAGGGGGATGCGCCTGGAGGTGGGACATGACGGCAGGACCCTTCTCTCTGCCGTTGCCCCCCAACATCCGTCCATCACAGGCAGTCCACCTGTGCAAAAGCTGGCCACCTGTGCTCAGGAGGTGGCTCCTTTACAAGCTTGCCTACGGCATGTTTAACACCTGGAGCAAGGGCCATCTTAATCCCTCTGCAAACCCTCGATCACATCCCGTGGCAGCTAATTCTACTGCAAGCATGAAGTGATCTGCCCTCTTGCCCTGTCCCGAATCTTTTCTAGTCGCACGCTCCCTCCACATTCTAGCCCTCTTTCCTCACCACGGGGATTCTTGGAAACTTTAATCGCAGCCTTGATGTGCTGGACTCCAGCTCCCATCATCCACTGGGGGTGCTGGAAGCGGTTCTCCAGCCCCTTTCGAGGGCACTGGGTTTGGAAGGCCTGCTCTGCCGCATCTGCCCTTCCTCCACTCTCTGTCCGCCACCTGCCCCCCGAAGTTGCCCTTGCCCGGAAGGGGCACTCCACCCTCGCAAGCAGTCGGGGAGCCCTGAGGCCACACGTGCCCCCGCTCTTGGCTGCCGAGCATGCTCTCCCACCCAGCGTCATGGCATTGCAGGTGCCTCTGCCAACCGCAACATGCAAAGCCCTCTTTATCTCCCAGCCCAGCCTTAGGAAACTTCCAGCGCAGCAACCAGCTCTCTGGAGTTCTGTCTCATGCCCCAGGGACTCACCAGAGATGCAGGTGTG